GTTCCTCTCCCCACTGCCATGTGCTGCTCCTGCCTTCTGCCTTGGAGCTACTCCCTGGAGCCTCCTGCTTGCTGTGCAAAGGGGGGTGGGGGGAAGAGGGGTGCTAATGTCAGGGTGTGTCCCCTCCCCGTTCCTTTACCTCATTTCCATAGAGTGGGGGTGGGGGGAGAGAGACATGGCAGGGCTCAGGACGGGAGCTTGCTGGCAGCAGCTAATGTCTCAACTTGCTGATCTAGCAATGTACTTAGAGTGGGGTCAGCGTACTTAAAGGGGCAATGCGCATCTCTCTCTCTCTCTCTCTCACACACACACATGGTGTGTGTCTCTGTCTCTCTCTGCCATGCTGTCTCCCCTCCCTCCATTCATGCTACCTTGTAGAGTGTGAGGCTACATTAACAACGTGTTAATCCTTGAGGGCTCAGCCAAGTGCTAGTTCATCATTTAGCAGTAAGGCATTCCCTGGGAAATATCCCACCCTCTTCCACCCTCTGACTTCACCACCTCAGCCAAGCTTCACAATCATCATTGCTGTGTACAGTATTAAATTGTTTGTTTAAAACTTATATTGAGTATATGTGTGTTTTGCCTGGCAAAAAAAAAGTCCCTGGAATCTAACCCCCCCATTTACATTAATTCTTATGGGAAAATTGGATTTGCTTAACATCGTTTCGCTTAAAGTAGCATTTATCAGGAACATAACTACAACATTAAGCGAGGAGTTACTGTATGTCCTCAGATCGGAGCATGAGGATGTGTAGGGTGCAAAAGCAGCACACATTCTTCAGACCAAATGTGACTTCAAATGACTGAAGTTGTAGGAATGACTAAAGAAGAACAATGAGAAATGTAACGTAGAAAGGATTATCTTGGATACAGCGTGACAGTCCAGAATGAATAAAAAGAAACATAAAAGGGATTCTAAGACCTTTAGATGGTTCCACATTAAGCGTACAGTGATAGGCCTCACTAGGATGGAGACAGAAAAATAGTACTAAGATCACATCTAATTTCTGGAAGGAAATCAGGAGTACAGAGTCAGACATTTTGCTGCTTATTTGGTCGAGATAGCAAACTATGGCCCGCAGGCCACATCCGGCCCGCAGGACCATCCTGCTTGCCAGCCAGGGAGGTTACCCCCGGTCCCTCCCCTGCTGTTCCCCCTCCCCCGCAGCTTGCGCCCGCGCACCTCTCAGGCTTTCCGATAAGCCAGTCCTGCCGCTCTGAGCGGCATGGTAAGGGGTAAGGGATAGATAAGGGGCAGGGAGTCCCAGGGGGCAGTCAGGGGACAGGGAGCAACGGGCAGTTGGATGGGGCGGAGGTTCAGGGGCAGTCAGGGGACAGGGAGCGGGGGGGTTGGATAGGTGTGGGAGTCCCGGGGAGCCTGTCAGGGGGCGGGGGTGTGGATGGGGATGGGGCAGCCAGGGGACAGGGAGCGGGGGGGGGGTTGGATAGGGGGTGGGGTCCTGGGGGGGGGAGTTAGGGGCAGGGGTTTTGGGGAGGGCGGTGAGGGGACAAGGAGCAGGGTTGGATGGGTCGGGGGTTCTGAGGGGGGCAGTCAGGGGGTGGGAAGTGGGAGGGGGCAGACAGAGGGCGGGGGCCAAGCCGTTTGGGGAGGCACAGCCTTCCCTACCCGACCCTCCATACAGTCTTGCAACCCTGATGTGGCCCTCGGGCCAAAAAGTTTGCCCACCCCGCCCTAGGGTATCATGTTGGACACCCAGAAAATGGGCAACCCACAATTAGTGACCACCTGTGAAAAATGTGGTTTAAGTAAATTGCTTAGTGTCATATAGGAACTCTGTGGTAGGGATTGAATCCCATTCCCCAGGGCAGCATTCAAATGCTCATTTATTACACATCTTCCAATTTCTGCAACAAATGAGGCAGGGTTCCTACAGATAACAGCCTCCCTTATTTATCCACAAAGCAGGTTCATCCTGTACATTGAATGAGACAGGGGTTCCTGTGGAAAAAACACTATGTGATCATTTAATTAAAGGCTGTATCATAATTAAGGCTACAATTATGTCACGGAGGTCATGGAAGTCACGGAATCAGTGACTTCCAGAGACCCCCGTGACATTCCCTACTTCAGCCCCAGGGACTGCGGGACTCGGAGCTGGCAGCCAGCGGGGCCCTGGCAGGGTTCCAGCAACAGGCAGCAGTAGCGACAGGCAATAGAGGGCCCCCTGCAAGGTTTCAGCAACAGGTGACAGACTCTTGAGGGGGCCCCTCCTCTGGGTTCCAGGGATGGGCAACAGCCTCACATGGGGAGGAACAGGGACGCCTCGGGCGAGTGGCCTGGGGTGTCCCATTTTCTCTTTGGGAAATATGGTCACCCTGAAGCTCCCAGCCGCCATGGGCGGAGGGCCCCCCCCCCCGCAGCTTCCAGCTGCCCTGGGCAGAGGGGGAACCCCACAGTTCCCAGCCACCACGGTGGCGGGGGAAATCATGGAGCCACAGCAGCAAAAGTCACAGACAGGTCATGGCTTCCGTGAATTTTTGTTTATTGCCTGTGACCTGTCTGTGACTTTTACTAAAAATAACCATGACAAAATCTTAGCCTTAATCATAATGCATGTGCTCTAGTGGGCCAAATTAAAGTTTGTACAGGCAATTCTAATTATGGCATTTCCTAAATATTGAAACCTTGACTTTGCAACCTTAATCATGTACTTTTAATGTAGTTTGTGTGTTATTTTCTGTTTAAAAAAAAAAAAACTGGGAAAAAAACAAAAACAGAACTTCCATCATGTTGCATTATATTGACAACCACAGGGATCATCAGCGGTGTTGGAACCTTTAGATCCATTACACACACTTCTGCCACTTGAGCTAACAGAGTAACTGATAGCAGTAGAATTTTGTCATCCTCTGCCTCCCATCACCGGAGGGGGATGAAACACACACTCTGTCAATTGGTTTCACAGCTATTTTCTGGCAGCAGAGAATTGGGAGACTAAGGAACCAGGGGTTCCATTCCAGGTTCTGGATGGGAGTGTGCGCTAGAGGGTACAGACTCTTCTGCCCATTCCTCACAAGATTGATCCCTTTCCTCATTCCCTCCAATCTGTTCCTGACTTAATCCTATCTTTTTTTCACCCATGGCTCCTTGTCCCAGTCCCATTTTCCTTGTGTACTCAGTCCCTATCTCCAGCCCTCAGGATTCTCATCCCAGTTCCGGTCTTCTTACCTTTCCAGTCTTAGTCTCCCCCTCCAGGTTTGCTGTCCAAGTCCCAGTCTCCCACAATTCCAGGTCTATCCCCATAACTCCCAGTCTCCTTCTCCAGCCAGTCCCATTTTCCCTGCTCCTCATCCAGTCTCTCTCTCCCCTCCTTCCCCACTCATTGGCTGCTAGTCTCCTTTTCTGGGCTCCTCATACAATCTCAGTGTTCCCCATCCTTTGCTTCTTATCCCAGTCTCTTTGCCGGCCAATTCCAGTTCTACTCCACCCCCTCAGCCCCTTGTCAGATCTATTTCCCCTCCCCACCATCCATTTTCCACCCACACCAGTTTCTACTCTCAATCTTCCCCCTTCCCCTAGCTCCTCATATGATGTCAGTGTTTCCCCCCTCCCAGTTCCTCTTTCCCCTCATCAGTTTCAATGTGTCCCCCTGAAAACCTTCTGGCTATCAGTTTTCCTTACCCAGCCAGTCCAGGTTTCTCTTCCCTTCCCCCACTCCAGTCCCAGTTTCAGCAAACTTATTTAAATCTACGCCTTTCCCTCCCTCCTTGTCTGGCTGTTGTCCTCTCTGCTTTTGAATCAGATGGCTTCCTCCTCCATGCTGCCTGGGAACCAGAAATGGATTTATTGAGAGCTCAGGAACAACAGGCTCTCTGCCCTCAGTTCCAGTACATGGCCCCACTCTGGCCAGAAGCAGTAATTACCGGGCAAGTCTGGTTTTGGCCCTGGGTTGTATGGAACATGCCCATGCTTTGAAAGTTGAGCTGTAATTGCTCTGTGGCGATGACACACATGAGGTCAGGTCGCATATAAGAGTTGAGAGGTTGCTTTGTGGGAATGGTGCATGTGCAGTCTGGTCAGCCCTAGGAACTGAGAGAGGCTTGAACATGCTCAGGGAGGGCTGAATCTTTGGAGATTTTAGCTCCTAAAGTGAAGTAAGGGTGAAGGAGTTGGTGGCACAAGTATGTGTCAACTGCGATTTTTCAGTCTTACACCTTGGCCAAACATGGGCAGATTTTCATGAGTGCAGGAAGACAAATCCCTGACACAAAGGCCACCCGCTTGCCAAATTTCACATCCCCATTTCAAAGCTTGGGAACCTGAGAACGTTTTAACAAAAAAAGGTCACCAGACTTTTTTTTTTTTTTTTTTTTAAATAACAACAGGCAAAACATGTTTTTCCCTACTCTCATTCTTGTAAATGGCTGAACTATTTTGGATAAATTTTTCCATGCAAGTTCATCCTGAGATAGACACTTGGCATGTAAAATTCCAGTACACATTATTAAAGTTTAGCAAAAGTTATAAGCAAATAAAACCAGGGTCTTATAATGCAACGGGCTGGACAACCTTAACAGGTGATACTTTCAGCCCTCCCTATAATAAACCACTGAAAACTTCACTGAGCGTCTAGATAGAATTTCAAGAACTTTTGTTAAGTATATTACCAAATAAAATAACACCATTTCATATCATCTTATGGCCCTTTTAATATTTTAAAAGTTATACTTTCTTACCTGTAGATTGGCAAAGAAAAGGATGTCTTCTTGGGATGAAAATTAGATTAATGAAAACCCAAAATAGCTGTGCTAACCAACTATGTACGAGCACCCAGTACAGATCTTAATAAAATAAACACACACACATATAAACAGTACACCTGCTTTAATTAACAGTGAAAGACATTTTAAAAAAAATCTGTCAATACTTAAAGATTTTAAATATAGGGGACAGACTTGGTTGGTAAATATTGGTAAATGCTGACTTTTTAATAGCAGTTATTGGAAGTGTATGTCATCAGTAGAACCATACCTACCTCTCGTAGATGGTTTTTAAAGTAAGCTGATCTGGAACACCTTCAGTCTCTTCCAGATGCAATATGAGCCAGGATGTCCTGTATGGCCACTGCTCTGTAAGGTTGATCCAGCTAGCCAGTCTATCCCAATTGAAAGTGATCTGATTAGCTCTCAATAAACGTCCTAAAAAAACAAGAAGGGGGTGAGAAAGGAATCAACTCTTTTAATTGCATGATCTTTTGTCACACTTTATATAACAGATGAAAATCATGTATTCTCCTAACAGCAGAAAGTGGAAAAAGTTAGTAGATTAGTTCTATGGAGTTCAAATTTGTTTCATGTCACATGTAAAGGATATAATTTGGTAATCTAATAAAAAATCCTACCGGATATCTGTCTATATCTCAAAACCCACCACGACTATCAGCCTCTGATTGGCCAGGCACTGGATTACAATTACCAGCCTGTTACGAGTAAGAATTAATGTGCATTAGCAGAGTTGTGGGGCAAAGTTTGTACAGTGCCTGACGTAATTCTGCCCGACTCTAGCAACATTCTACAGCAATACGTTTATACTATATATTTCAGAACATTTTTAAAAATTTCATGATTTCATTCCAAGAGATTTTCTGTCTGTTTCCACCAGGAAGATATCACTCATGGTTATAAGAAATAGGTAGATAATTGGTATCCTGAATAGTAAATCAAGAAAATCTCAAAGCTCGAAACAAAAAGCAGTACTTCATTAACAAGAAAGGCAAGGTTTGGGGTTACAAATATAGCATATTATTAAAGGCAGAAAAAAGGATCTAAAATCAGTTCATGTAGTTGACAAACATTCTGATGAGAACAATGTGATAAGAGGTTTCTTTACTAAGATGAATCCTGATTTGCATGTGCTGATGAAAGAGTATTCAGTTAACACTTTCAAAATACTGTCAAACTTCTAAATCACAGGTAACAAGGTTCTACACGAATTTTTGATGCAAGTTCATATTTAAGACTCCACCTTCTGCAAAATACACATTGTGAATCCATTCTACATATGAATCTCACACTTTAATAATGTATTCCTATTGTGTCCACTTTCTTTGCATTTGTGTTGTGGTTGTACTTTTTGTTGAAGTAGCATTACTAAGATTGTTAAAGTGGTTCATAATTTATCACCCTTAAAGATCTGATTATGATGTTTGTAGTTAAATTATATTAGTGTACACAAAAATCTCATGGTTATAAACTTTATACAGTTTTAGTTTTTACTATTGGGGGGAATTCTGTGCATCTGCAGAAGCGCAGAATTCCTCTGTCTCACATAATTTTGTATTTTCCTGCATAAAATACATTTTGCCTAAGAAATGCTGCAGTTCTGCCTTTTGCCCACCAAAGACCACTGTGGCACCAGAACAGCTGGCTGCATTCATGCCAGCTGTTCTGGAGCCACAGTAGCCTATGGTGGACAAAATGCGGAACTGCAGCACTTCTTAGGCAAAATGTATTTTACACAGGAAAATACAAAATTCTATGCCCAGTGCTGCAGAATTCCCCCAGAAGTAGAAGTTCATCACAGCACTCTGCCAGCAGAACCAGGTTAGGACAGAGTGGGGCACACAGGGCTGCTGGGGGGTCACAGACTGGAGTTCAGAATGTCTTGGGGGGAGGGGGTACAGACTGGCACATGGGCTCAGGAGCTGAGGGGTGACAGCACTGAGCCTAGGGGTGGGGAAGAGGGGTTACAGAGATCCATGGGGGTGGGAAGTGCACAGGCAGGGGCAGATATGCTTGACTGAATGGGAGAGCCTTGGGGTCAGCTAGGGTCTGCATGGGAGAGGCTTCCCAAAGCCCTAACAATCCCCCCCTCCCCAAAAAACCCTTCTCCCACCCACACGCTCCAGATTCACTCCTAAGCTCCTTCCCTCTCCCTCAGCTCCTCCAATACCCCTGACTCCCCCAAGCCTTTGCACTGCTTCTGACCGGTGCAGAAAATACAGTGCTGTGTTGTAATTTAAATGAATTACACACACAAAGTTCTGTATTAATAAGTCTAGTAAGGAATCTATTGGTCAAAAAAAATTACCAGAATCTTTTTTTTTTTTTTGGTCTGTATTGTTACAGACATACTTGCTGACAGATATTTTGAAATAAATTACCAAAATAATTGAAACTGGAATGATTATATTACGTTATTTTGACAAATAAAATATGCAGAATTTTGTAGAATTTAAATTTTTTTGGTACAGAGTTTTTAATTTTTGGTGCAGAATTCCCCCCGGAGTAAGTTTCATACCTGGTGTCATATATCCACTTGATGTGTGCTATGCCCCAGTTTTTAAACAATCCCTTGGAGGAACCCCTTCAAAGTGCCAGACTCCAAAGGGCTCCCACTTTTCTTTAAGGGTAGGCCACTTAGCCAACGCGTCCTAGGCTGAAACCCTAAGGTCCAGCACACTTGTTTCACACCATGAGCTCTGAACAGCAGGACCGAGATAGACGCCTGTTTACTTTCTACCCTCTTTGCAGATCAGTTTACTTCAGCAATTTTTGGCTCTGAATGACTGTGATTTTAATGAGATTAGAGAATATTGCTTTTTTAGAAAATTGCCTTTGTAGACAAGTTGCTAATGTCAGTATTTCCATTGGATAGAAATGCAATGCAATATAGTATTAACCTTTTTTAAAAACTACTGGGAAACGGTGAATATTAAGTATTTACAAATGTGACTTTCATATGCTTTTTATTGCTTAAATAGATTTTTGATAGTATTTAACATAAATATTTAATATACAAATATGAGTTCATTAGGAAGTGTTGGCAGGATAAAAATAGGAAAATTAATAAGTGTGGATGTGTCAAACTACCAGGAGAGTATTTGGGTGCTGGCAGACAGGCATAGCTCCTGGTGTGCAGATTACTAGAGTAGTTTCCTATTCATAACAGAATCCTTCTATAAAAAAACTGCTCCTAATTTTAAATTTGTCAGATCCAGTTAGTTGGGAACATGTTGAATTTCCAAATAAAATTAAATTATACAAATTTTCTTTGCTCTCATCAGACAAGCTTTTCACGTTTTTGCTTGTAGATTCTCTTGTTTATAGTCTAATTGGTTCAACAGGAATGTTACACTAATTATTGTGTGTAAGATATATAGAATCATGGAAATGTAGGGCTGGAAGGGACCTAGAGAGGTCATCAAGTTCAGCCCACTGCACTAATGCAGGGCCAAGTAATAAGTAGGCCATCCCTGACAGGTGTTTGTCCAATCTGTTCTTTAAAACCTCCAATGGTGAGGACTCTACAATCTCCCTTCGAAGCATATTCAAGAACTTAAGTAACCATGTAGTTTGAAAGATTTTCCTAATATCTAACCTAAATCTTCTTTGCTGCAGATTAAGTTGATTACTTCTTGTCCTATCTTTAGTGGACATAGAATCATAGAATTGTAGGACTGGAAGGGACCTCGAGAGGTCTTCTAGTCCAATGGTTTTCAACCAGGGGTATGCAGAGGTCTTTCAGGGAGTACATCAACTCATCTAGATATTTGCCTAGTTTTTCCATAGGCTACATAAAAAGTACTAGCAAAGTCAGCACAAACTAAAATTGCATACAGACAATTACTTGTTTGTACTGCTTTATATACTATACACTGAAATGTAAGTACAATATTTATATTCCAATTGATGTATTTTATAATTATGTGGTAAAAAGGAAAAAGTAAGCAATTTTTCAGTAATAGTGTGTTGTGACACTTTTGTATTATAAGTCTGATTTTGTAAGCAAGTAGTTTTTAAGTGAGGTGAAATTTGGGGTATGTACTCCTGACACTAGAGATGAAATAGGCTACAGCATCTGCTGCTTGCAGGAATGTCCTGGCCAGTAACTGTCCCTCAGCAATGATGGCTTGAAATTGCTTTCTTTGCTGTGGCAGAAGGTGCTCAATAAAAGCAGTAAATTTCACGTAGTTTGTGTAATCGTATTTTGCCATGATTGCCTTGTAATTTGCAATCCAAAATTATAGGGTTGCAGATGAGTAAACTTCCATCCAAAAAGGTCCAGAAGCTTCTGGTCTTTGTCATCTGGGATTGGCTTGGTGTGGTGTTCCTTCCCCTGTTCATTCAGCACATCCACCACCAAAGATTTAAGTAGGGAGCGAGAGAATAAAGGGAGTGCTTCATCATCAGTAGCCTCAGTTTAATCTCCCAGTTTTACTTTGCCTGGGATTTAAGGGCAAGACAGAAGTTACACTTCTGAGGAATGTGTAACCGCTGCTAACTAGGATGTCCTCCCAACAAGTCAGGCAGCATTTGAACCCCGGTGAGCCAGATATGCCCTTCCAAAGAAGGCAAGCCTCCCTAGAGAGGAGAGGAATAAATCTAATTCTCTCAACTACCAAACTAATCTAACTAGCAAGCAAACAATCTAAAACTAAATTAGCAATTAAAAGAAAAAATTTTTTAGTGGAGGCATGCTCAAGCGCCATCTCAGGCTGAGACAGCTGAGAAGGAACTGAGGGCGGTTCACTCACACAGTCCTATATAATCTCAGTGTGGGGCACAAGGCTGTGTAAGGCACATGTGCGAGCCAAATGGACACTGCCAGTGCAAATTTCCATTTGAAGGCATGTGGGGCACATGCAGACCTGGAGTGGACCTCCTAGGGGCACTACTCAAAGAACAACATCTATTCCCTTCTCAACTAAAGGCTGCAGCTCCAGGTTCTAGTCTTCAATTATTTTGTATTCCACTAGTCCCCTCAAAAATATGGACATAAAAGCCAAGAATTAAGAAGAATAAAAAACTTTTGAGGCCTTCTTTATACATCACAAAAAACTTTTTTGTTTGTTTGTTTGTTATTTTTGCCTTGCAGTTCACCTTAAGGTACTAGCTATGTGATCGTTTTTCATTACACTATATTGTAGAATCTGGAAATATATTTAAATCATAGAATCAGACAAATGTAGGGCTGGAAGTGACCTTGAGACCTCATCAAGTCCAGCCCCCTTCACTGTGGCAGGGCAAGTAAATGTAGACCATCCCTGACAGGTGTTTGTCTAACTTGTTTTTAAAAGCTTCCAGTGATGGGAACCCAGGACCTCCCTTGGAAGCCTATTCCAGAGCTTAACTACCCTGATAGTTAGAAAGTTTTTCCTAATATCTAACCCAAAACTCCCTTGCTGAAGATTAAGCTCATTACTTCTTGTCCTACCTTCAATGGACATTCAGAACAATTGATCACCGTCCTTTTTATAACAGCCTTTAACATATTGGAAGACCGTTATCAGGTCCCACCCCCTCAGTCTTCTTTCCTCAAGACTAAACAGGCACACTTTTTTTTTAACCTTTCCTTGTATGTTAGGTTTCCTAAATCTTTTATCATTTTTATTGCTCTCCTCTGGATTCTTTCCAATTTATCCACATCTTTCCTAAATTGAAGTGCCCAGAATTAGAGACAGAACTCCAGCCGGGGACTCACCAATACCAAGTAGAGCAGGACAATTACCTCCTGTGTCTTACAACACTCCTTTTAATACTCCCCCGGAATCATATTAGCCTTTTTTGCAGCTGCATCACATTGATGACTCATATTCAGTTTGTGGTCCCTACAACCCCCAGATCCTTTTCAGCAGTATTACCATCTAGACAGTTATTCCCCATTTTCTAGTTGTGCATTTGATTTTCTCTTTCTAAGTGAAGTACTTTGCACTTGTCTTTATTGAATTTCATCTTCCTGAATTCACACCAATTTTTCAAGGTCATTTTGAATTTTCAGCCTGTCCTCCAAAGTGCTTGCAACCCCTCCCACTTGGTGTCATCTACACATTTTATAAGCAGTCTCTATTCCATTAACCAAGTCATTAATGAAAATACTGAATAATACACAGAACTGACCTCTGCGGGACCCCAGTAGATATGCCCTCCCAATTTGATCGCAAACCACTGATAACTACTCTTCACGAGTTGTGCACCCACCTTATAGTAATTTCATCTAGACCATGTTTCCCTAGCTTGCTTATGAGAATACCATGCTTCATGTCAAAAGTGTAGTCTAAATGTATCATACACATGAGAATAAGTTTTCTAATCATTTCAACAGGGTTTTAGCCCTCTGGCTCCCATTAACATTAATGACCAACAACTAAACCCAGGACATGATTTTTTTTAAAAGAAGATTTACAAAATGCTCAGGTTACATTTAAATTTCCAAGTGAACATTTAGTTTTGTTCTGTTTTTTGAGATATGAAGCCACTGAATCTCTTTTTGGCAACATCTGGTAGCATTCTAGGAAAGCATCTTACCTTAGAAGTAGGATATAAAAAAAAAAAACACTTGGAAACAAATGCATGAATTTTGCCCTTCATATACATTACTCTTTCAACTACCACCTTTTAAATAGTGCCTCATACTAAGCATTTTGGAGTATCCATAGCTTATTTTAAATTTTTACACAGTGCTTTTCTGTGGGTTTTTTTGTACTAATGTTACTGAAAGTATGCACCTCAGTGTGTTGCACCATTCCGGAGAGCAGATAATATTTTCACCCCTCAGCTCACAGACTACAATTCTGACCAATCACCATAACATACTCCTTAGAGTGCACAATGAACACGTCATACTCACCTGTCACAGAAACAATATTGAGTAATCTTCTCATGGTCTGAGGACTGATATCACTGAACCAGTCCTCTGTAACCAGAAGCTTGGTCAGATCAAAAGACATCTGGCGTGTAATAGTCCGCTGCATCTGTCGTCTTCGGTAAGTATCCTGACAAATAAAAAACCAAAATAATGGTTAGTTTTTCCAAATTGTACATACCTGAAGGGCTTCCCATTTCAGGTTTTGTGCTTAAAAAAAATATTCTAATTTTTACAAGTTCCACCAAAGGCATAGATTTGAACTCAAATACAATGAAAATATATTCACAGAAAAAAATCTTCTTTGACTAAACTATATAATAATCAATACAAGCAACACACATTGTAAATTATTTCTAATAAGCCAAATTACTATGGCTTACAAACAATAGCAGAGTTTTTTCACACGACAATTATGAATTACAAAATACAATGGTAAGTCACAATATTTTGTACGAACACAACAATTTAAAATATTGTTGCCATCACTTTTGTCTGTCTCTGCAAAAAGTTAAATTTCATCCATTTTCTCATATAATGTTGAGAAAACCACTTTTTAAATTAAGGGAAAAAAACCTCAAGAGCATCTCTTTGCTTTGAAGGAATCAAAAAAATCCTCATTCATAGCCCTAGCATCTGGTCACACAGAAACTGATATAGGAGGCAGTTGTTAAGCCAAGCATCTTTGTGGTTGTTAGATATGACCCCACAGACCCCACCTTGAGTACAGATTGAACAAGGATTTGTATACCCTCTCCCCCTTTCAGGTATTGTAGGATCAAATTATTATAGATTAGATGGCTCTAGGGCTCCAACAATACCAGCTGTGAGGCAAGCTTGGTCAAACTTGGCTAGAAAGTTCTGCTTTCATCCATTCTTTCATGTAGAGGTCGTCCTACAGAGCAATCCTATCCTTAAAATATGTGGCAAAATCTTGATGCGAAGGGATTGGATGGAGGAATTATGACTGTGTCACAGCTAACTGACAATGATAAATTTAAACCATGTTTAGATCTTCAGCAACAATTTGGCTTGCCCTGCTCCAGACCATGGAAATATGTCCAGTTAAAGCATTTACTTACAAATATATTTGGACCAGATCCATTGGGAGCTCCACAATCTCCAGAACTTTTATTATATTGAAAAAAAAACTTCCTGGCCAGGGGTATCCTTTTATGATTTTCTGGCCCAAAGAACTCTGCCAAAGATTGATAATTTGCAAGTCGCTTGGAATAGAGATTTAGATATGGAACTATCTTCAAATCAATGAAATATAATTGTATCTAATGTTAAAAAAGCAACTATAGACCTCAGACTATGGCTTATTCACCAAAAGACACTTTTTCAAATATATTGGTCCCCACATAGCTTAATAGTAATGGGCCTCATACATGCTGGCCACTGTTGGAAATGTAATTTCTTTAATGCTACATTAGCTCATGGGTTTTCGGAGTGTCCTTGTAACAAGAATTTTCTCATATGAGATGGGTCAAAGGAACAGTTTGATACTGGATTATAAATTGGAGCCCATCCCCTTAAGTTTCATTCTTCAATGTATTACTGCTACCTGGCGGTTACCTGGTAACAAGGTGGCATGGTTCCATCATGCAGCTTTGGTCACTAAAAAAATTAAACCTGAAAAAATGGAAAAGTTGATCCCCACTTAATACTGATGCCTGCCTTGGTGACACTGCTGACTTCACGGCTAACAAATGACTGGAATTCCACAGGAAGAGAATGCCTGAAAAATTCCAAGCAATTTTGGCTGATTTTTTAGCAGTCTATGATAACGTAGACTCTGAAAACAGTTTTGTCACTTCACCTCCCCTCCCTTTTTCCTAATTCTCTTTATTTACTTTATGTATTGTGATGAATCTGGCATTTTGGTATATTTGTTGTATTTGGAAAAATTAATAAAAAGTTATAAATATGAAAAAACTGATATAGGAGGCGGAAGAGAGACACAACACAGTACCATGCTAGTAGTTCATTTTTGCTTTTGTGGTTAAGGAAATAAAAAGTCCCTTTCTTTCTTTGCAAATGGGATAGAAGGACTCTGCTCATGTGTGGGGAGCAGTGAAGGGAAGAAGTTACTCACTTTGTGCAGTAACGATGGTTCTTCAAGATGAGTGTCCCTATGGGTGTTCCACTGTAGATATGCTTGTGTCCTTGCACTGCTGATCAGAGAACTTTGGTAGCAGTGACCACTAGACCCACACATATGCTGTCTCCCAGCTTCCCCACAACTCCATCATTGTCTATGCGTTAAACTCTTGGGGTTGTCAACAACAAATGAGATCCACTCCCTATGAATGGGACTGGAAACGCTTGGACCTCTTCGGGATGAAAGCCTATTCCTCGGCCACGGTACAGTTCCGAATCAATAATTATCAAGCCTTAATGGCAAAATATGACTGTCAACTATTGGAAACTTAGCAACTTTATTGATCAGCTTCCTGAGTCACAGCTCGGCCAGTTCTGATGTTTTGAATTACCATCATTAAATAAAAAATAGATACATATTATAAATATCTCTTCTTTTATGCTACTATCTTTCTCACCCGTCTATTAAGAGCAGTTTTGCTGCCAAGTTTGGTCATCTCTCCAAGGCTATTCTGAGAAACTCTTCTGTCAACTTCTTCATGTATTCCTAAAGAATGACATTTTCCCCATTAAAAAACATTTCACTCTTCCATTTCATCTGCTTATTCCAACTGTAAACTGTAAAATGTCTAAAGTTACCAAATATTTGCAAAAGATGTTATTAAAAAAGCTAAAGATTAATGGTTTCAAGATTATTTATTTTATAACCTTGCTATAGTCTCCTTGCAATATAAACTTACCTGAAGTATCTGTATATGGAATATCTCCATTGGTAGTTGAAGCTACCATCAGCTTTTTTGCACTACTGAGCCCACGACTATTAAGAAAGACAGGCAAATGGACTATATTTCTCATGTAATCGTGTCCATTTATGTTCGAATCGCGTAACACACTATTGAGGTTCTGGTTAATTGCCTTTATAATAATATGTGGGTCACTTGCAAAAATGGCAATAAATGGGCCTTTTGAAAACAGGACTCGTACCTGCAATAAGAAAAAAAGGTAGATTGTAAATTGTTTTTTTACCATGTGCCATTAAACATTCTTGTAGTTAAAATTTTATATTTATTTTGTTCTGATGAGTTGAATAGACAAACTATACGGAACACAACATTTTTTTTCTACTACATACACTGTCAGAAGTCATTATATGAAATAGTACCATGAAAATAATATGCTTGATATACCACAAAAATTAATACCAAATTCTTAACTCCTGAAAAATTTTCAGCTAAAATAGCCTTTTAATTTACGCTGTCCTCGGGAGCCAAAAAATCTTACCGCATTATAGGTGAAACCGCGTTATATCTAACTTGCTTTGATCCACCGGAGTGCGCAGCCCCGCCCCCTCGGAGCGCTGCTTTACTGCATTATATCCAAATTCGTGTTATATCGGGTCGCGTTATATCGGGGTAGAGGAGTAGTTGAGAAATTTGAAAAAACTTTTCAACCAAAAAAACTAAGCTCAAGATGACACTAATTCATAGTGTCTTAGATCTCAAAGCACTTCACTATCATTAAAGAGTTATTCTCAACACTTCTGGGAGCAGATCTTTGGCTGGTGTAAACAGTTGCAGGTTCTACTGAAGCTAGGACAATTTACATAAGCTGAGGATCTGTTCCCTGGGAGGTAGGCAAAAATCATCTCTGTAAAACAACAACTCACTGTGTCAAGCATCTGTAGAACTTTGTCTTGTTCACAAGCATCCAATCCATCAATAATTACGACAAGTCTTGTCTGATTCTGAGTGAAGCTATCAATAGTTTTTGCCATTTTGGCCATCAGTTCCACTTCACACTTCAGAACCTACAAAAGTTAAAAAAAAAGAACCTTTCAAAATTAAAAGAAAGAATAGAAGCTATATAGTGGAAATATGAAGAGAACTTTTTAGAAATTGGGGCAAAGACTTTCAAAGCGCAATTTTAGTTTTAATGAAGTTTTATATATTTTAAATGTCATTCCTTTTAAAAATGATCTATCCCAACAATATTTTAATATTATTAACTAATACTTTTAATTACTGAAAAGGGAAAAGAAAAATACAACGGAATTAAAAAAGAAATCAGTTAAATAACTATGAAAAAAACATATTTATTTTAAATCAGGATTTTTTTCTTCCTTAAACAGAGTTTAAGAGGCTGTTCTGAAAGGATGCATATTTTTAGTTTTTGTAGTTTTGGTCTGGTCACAGACTGTCATAAGTTAATACCATATTAGCTTCATTTAACAGTGATAAATTAATACACATTTACAGTAACTCAGCATTTCAAGAGTGAATCAAAAGAGTTCAAAACAGCTATAGTTTCTTCTAATTTCTCCAGTGAAATAGAAGAATTACTTAGCGTAAATTTTATGCAAAGATTTTCCTTATCTGCGTTCCTGTTTGAATGTCTTTTGTAAGTAAATTTTTTAGTGTTTTCTTAAAGTTTAAGTGGGAATGGACTGCGGGACAAAAGGATGCAAGTGCAGTTCCTTATGGAAATGATTTTCTTCATAAATAGCTGTGCATGAAACATTCTCTGCTGTAAGATAAATACGATGGAACAGTGTAGCTCCTAATGAAGATTTAATCTGACAGACAAGATCTCATGAGAACCAAGCCCCAAGCAAACAAGTTTAGGTACAGAGCATGTAAGTTTTGAGCAAGGAAAAGTAAGAGAGTCATGAACAAATTTTAGACGGCGCCTAATTTCAAAGACTTCTTAAATATTTAAGAGAAACTTAAACAAAAAACTATACAAAAATTCAAATGGTATAAAAATATAACCCCGAGAAATTTCACATTGATTTTCCTCTTTGAAAAAAGTGGCCAAACAGGAATTTAAGCCCCATTTTAATCCCATTTTAGAAAGCAACCATAACTATAGAGTCCACATCAGGATTCTCTATAAACAGTAGCAGCACCAGTAAATGCTATCACTTTTGCTACCAAGTTTTTAACTGGCTCTTAAAAATTAAGTCACTCTCTCATTGGCTTCATTCTTTTCTTAACCAAAGACACTATGGATGGCAAATGACTGACAATGCTCAAAGTTATACATGTGTAATTTATTCTTTATTAACTTTGCAGTAAAGTTTCTATGATTATATTGAATCTTAATAGTATTTGAAGCAATTGCTTTTATCACATTACTGCAGGTCCTATGATGGGGTGCCCAACTCACACACACCCTGAGCAGGAGCCAGGAGGGGCCAATTAATATCACATGTTGCACCTGGAGGGGAACCACGGATTGACAGGCCCTAGTGGCAGAAGAAGCCCAGCTGGGGGAGGAGCCAGGATAGGAGTATAAAGCCAGGAAGTGAGAGCAGGAAGGGGCTTCCGGAGGAGGTCTGCAGTCACTCCCTAGAGAGAAAGAAAGTTGGCCAGAAACAAAAAGGAGACCCAGGAGGAGAGTATGCCCTGGGGTCCTGCCCTGAAAGGGGGAGTCTGGCAAGAGGTTGAGATGGGTGAAGCAGCCACAGGGAGCAGAGGAATGTCCAGTGGTAAACCCAGAGAAAGCGAAGGAGATGGAGAGGTGGAGTAGGAAGGGGCCCAGGAAACAGAAACAGGGTGCAAATCTGAGCAGACCTCGATTGCTAATCATAGGGTTCCTGAACTGGTACCTGGAGTAGTGGATGGACCCATGTTCCCCTATCAGCCACTGGGAAAGTGGCATAGGACCTGGAGAGATGAAACGGAAGACCTTCTGAGGCAGCATCCAGACAGCTTGTCTGGCAGGACTTTGTTACCCTGGAGGGGGGGGACACTATATAGTGACATGACTGGAGTGCCAACTCACAAAGACAGAGCACCCTAAGGCCCAAGAGAAAGAGGGGCCATGGTGCAAACAACCAATGAAGGGTGTGCCAGAAGACGCGAGATCTAATTCCCAGACCCAACCACAATGAGGAGCACCCTGTGGTGAGTGGGACCCCTTTACAAGGTCATTTAGATAATTTATTGTCTAAAGTATTGTTTTTCTAAACAAAGTAAAATTGTAAACTGAAAAGTAATTCTTGGTTGAATAGACAGATCATATGCATTGAATATAATTTTCAGTAGGAGAGCAATGTTCATTTATTTGAAAACTTGTTCTAACGTTTGTGAGGTCTGGTTTGATCAGATGGATGACATCCTATTGTAAGAGGATTATTGTACTCCTTTGTGTTAATGAATGATTCACAATATCAATGCTTACCTTCATGAACCCTTCACTTTTCAGTTTGTGGAGCTTGGAAGCAGCATTATGAAGACGTTTTCTCTGGGAATTTAAGACTGAGTCCAACACTTGCCACCATGTACGACAGTTCAAGATAAAGGCCAAACCAACAACACATGCAACTGATATCAGAATAGCATTCACCGTCATGTTCTTTGGATCTACATTAAAAATGACCAGCAGTGTGATCCCAGCAATAATGCAACCAAGTATGAAGAGGAAGATAACAAAGGATGGGAGACAGCAGGTTTTCTTCCACTTCTTTTTACCTATAAAACATAAAAGAGTCATTGGATGTTGCATGCATCTCTAAATTTTTTATCCAATTTAATATAAAAATGCTCAAGTTTGTAAACTCTATATATGATTATAACCGTCTAAAAATGGTGGGCTAAGTTCGGCCAAATTCTTGCAAAGAGGATGTTGGGGTACCAATCCAGTCTTCAGTTTGCAGTTTCTCTTGTCGAAGAGACCCATCCTGGATGTGGGTGATCTTTGCTGTGAAACAGGCTGATAGTTTCTCACAGTGACAAGTCCTGGGCTCTTGTGTGAAGCGGAGGCAGTCTGTGTTCATGAGTTCTGCAAAGTCTGACAACACTGCCTCTATGGCAGAGGAGAAATAGGATCGCTGCAGGATAAGGGCATATGTTTATAAAAATTTCTTGTTCTGATGTCTGTTTCTATCACCTGATTTACACTATCCATGCACAAACTCTCTTCCTTTCATTTTTTTTTTATTTTCATAGGAGTAGGGCTGAAAAAACTATTTTGGTTTTCATTAAGATTTAATCTCAACAGTTTATTATTTATTAAGCACTGGCAACTGTTTGCACAAAGCCCGCAGAGTGAGTGAATGTGAATATATAAATAAATATTATTGGATTAAATTTTCCAAACCCTGCCTTCCCTTTTGTGGGATCAGTTTGCAAAATGTTCATGTGCACCAACAACTTAGATTACTAACTACCTGGTTTTAAGCTCAAAACTGACAGATATTCAACTACTAATACAAAAAGAAGTCTCAGAAGCCACAATCTTTGATTTTTTTATCCATGCCCTTCTGCCTAGTGAAAAAGAGTCAAGAACATCTAGGACCTTCTAACAGATGATTCCTCCTGTGAAGAAGGAAACCTTCCACTTGGAGTAAGATGATCAAGAAGCCAGCAAAAATGTCTCCAACTTCATTTGACAAGTGCTAGTATCCTAGATCCCTGTCAGTAAGGGGAGGGGCATGGAACAGAAAAAATAATTGTTTTTATTGATGGATTATTCTTTTGTCCATGGACAAGTGACGTAATATCTGAATTCCTGCTGATTCTCCTGATTGCATTTAACACCAATTACATACTCATGTCTGATATCTGAGAGCTTGTAGGAATTAAATGAAATTCCTTCTCCTTTCTCTCAGACCAAACCCAGTGGGTAACAATGAGCAATTATTCCTTCAATCTACAGATCCCTCACCTGTGGTGTTTCTCAAGGCTCAATCCTCTCCCCATCATATTCAGTACCTATATGAAGCCACTGTGTAAAGTGGAATAAATAAAACAGCATGGCTAGAGTGACGGCAGTATAGAGATTACACCCATCACATCATCTCTATCATCAATGAAACAGCATCACCTACCAGCTTCCTCAATGCCTGACCAAAAGCAGCAGGTGCAGCTAGGTGAAGACCAGTTGTCTGAAGCTGAACTCAGCCAAGATGGAGGAAATGCTTGTGTGAATTGAGAAGTGCTTTGAAGAACTCATCTTCCTCACAAAATCCCATTCTGTTAAGAATGTCTTCCCTTTGACTGTTAAGTCAGTCAGCAGCCATGGAGTGCTTTTTAACTCCTCACAGCTACTGGAAGTGCAAACATCTACAGATGAAATGAGCCCACCCTTTTCCATTTGTGGTTAGCCAGAAAAGTCTGCCCCACTCCTGTCACAATCAGAGTTGGTCACTGATAGAGTTGGAAGAGCATAATGAGTGGGGTCATGCAGGGATCAGTTCTGGGTCCGGTTCTGTTCAATATCTTCATCAATGATTTAGACAATGGCACAGAGAGCACACTTATAAAGTTTGCGAACGATACCAAGCTGAGAGGGGTTGCAAGTGCTTTGGAGGATAGGATTAAAATTCAAAAATGATCTGGACAAACTGGGAAAATGGTCTGAAGTAAATAAGATGAAATTCAATAAGGACAAATGCAAAGTACTCCATTTACGAAGGAACAAATCAGTCACATACATATAAAATGGGAACTGACTGCTTAGGAAGGAGTACTGCGGAAAAGGATCTGGAGGTCATAGTGGATCACAAGCTAAATACGAGTCAACACTGTAACAGTGTTGCAAAAAAAAACAACCTAACATCACTCTGGGATGTTGTGATGTTATCTGATTAAAATAGGACAATATAGATAATTGTTGCAACCACTGTTATATATTTGCAGAAAAACTTGTACAAAGGTTGTCAAGTGAGGTATCTATGAAAAGGTTATGATGTGCTTGTTATGATTCTGCTATCTGTATGCATGTATCATTTTTGTATTTGAAGTTATAAGTATTGGCTCTATACTTGGATTTCAAATGTTTGCTCCTGGGGTAACGCCCAGCACATCTTGGAGGGACTATTCGAATTAAGTGGCTCATCAAGAAACACTTGGCTGACAATGGACCATGGGAGACGACCATCTACACTGAGTGGACTGTCATGTAAACGTGCTGTCTGGAATGTAGGTAATGGCTTCCTGCAATGACTGAGGGAAATTGGGCATGAACATGTGGCTTGCCCATGTGACTCCAAACTCCATCTTGTTGCTGTAATTTTCCACAGTAAGAACAATGGGATGCCCTCCACATGGCAAAACCTATAAAAGGCCCTAGGGAAACACCTCCACTTTGTCTTCAATCCTGCTTCTTTACCTATGGAGGAACTTTGCTACAAATGGAAGCTCTGAACAAAGGACTGAATGACCCATCCAAACCGTGGATGTACTCCAGAGACTTGATTTAAGCCAGCAGTTTATTCCATCACTGCTACAAGCCTGAACCAAGAAATTTCCCATTACGGTATGTGATTGATTCCTTTAACCAATTTTAACTCTCACCTTTCTTTCTTTTTATGAATAAACCTTTAGATTTTAGATACTAAAGGATTGGCATCAGCGTGATTTTGGGGTAAGATCTAAGTTATATATTGACCTGGGTGTGTGGCTGGTCCTTTGGGATCAGAAGAACCTATTATTTGATTACACGGATTGTAAAGAACCATTCATCTCTGAATCCAGTGTTTCTGGTGGTGATATAAGAACTGGAATGCCTGAGGGAACTGCCTTTATGTTTTCTTGTTAGCCAGTGTGATGAAACAGGAGTTTACTTTTGTGGCTGGTTTGGTATATCTTATAAAAGAATAACCACCAGTTTTGGGTTGTGTTTGCCCTATTTCTCAGCAGTTCATCCTGAATTTGGCATCCTCAGTTGTGATCCACTAAGGCATGGTTACAGATGCATTAGCAGGAATATTGTAAGCAAGATAAGTAGTAATTCTTCCGCTCTAGTCCGTGCTGATTAGGCCTCAACTGGAGTATTGTGTCCAGTTCTGGGTGCCACATTTCAGGAAAGATGTGGACTAATTGGAGAAAACCCAGAGAAGAGCAACAATAATGATTAAAGGTCTAGAAAACATGACCTATGAGGGAAGATTGAAAAAATTGGCTTTGTTTAGTCTGGAAAAGAGAAGACTGAGTCCTGGTCTACACTAAAGGGTTAGGTCGAATTTAGCCGCGTTAGGTCCATTTTATAATGAACGCGTCTACACAAGCAACCCTGTTCCGTTGACCTAAAGGGCTCTTAAAATCGACTTCTGTACTCCTCCCCAGTGAGGGGAGTAGCGCTAAAATCGACCTTGCTGGGTCGAATTTGGGGTAGTGCGGACACAAATCGATGTTATTGGTCTCCGGGAGCTATCCCAGAGTTCTCCAATGTGACCGCTCCAGTTTGTGTACCTGCCGCGTCCGCAGGTTCGGCTGATTGCGGCTCCCAGTGGCCGCAGTTCACTGCTCCAGCAGTTCCCATTGGCCTGGAGCAGCAAACCGCGGCCACTGGGAGCTGCGATCAGCCGAACCTGCGGACGCGGCAGGTACACAAACCGGCCCAGCCCACCAGGGGCTTTCCCTGCAGAAGCAGCAGAACAAGTTTGGGAACCACTGTTCTACATACATATATATATTTTTATGAAAAATTCTCAACTATGCTCAAGAATACCTTTTGCTTTCAGCTAATTGTTTTTCTATAATCTTTCTACATAAAAAACTATGATTTCACAGCTTATTTTTCCAAGGTGAATGGAAAGGGTACAAATTAAAGCAGTAGTCTATCTTCTACATATCAAAAACTTACAGTTTAGACATAAACAATGTACTGATGTGAAAAAACAGAACACTTTACAACTGCAGTGAAATGGAAAAATCAGAAAAGTCATTTGAGTAATAAATACCTTGTGTATCTTCTGTCTTGAACACTCGAAAAAGTCTTGTTGCTAAGAAACCAAACTCCCTTTCACATGCATCAGAAAGGGTAGCAATCATCTCAGCCATTGACGTTTCACCACCTACACTGGACAGTCTATTGTAATCAGTAAATAGAAATCTGAAACGAGAGAAAAAGAACATGTATCTTGTATGTAGAAGTCCTTTTTGGCTAGTGGAAATAAAACCTTTCTATTTCCCTACAACTGAAGGGTACCCTTTCAAATGTGGCAGAATGAACATTTAAATAAGAGTTTCTTTAAGGTATATCACTGCTCTTATAGCAATTTAGTCTCTTTCCCCTGCCGCCTTCTCCCCCATTTTCAACCTTTCCTTTGCCTCCATCCCTGTCTTATTTTAGCATTTGATTTACTGAAATACACGTCTCACAGTGTCTCAGAGTGCAAATATAAAAGACAAAATTTTAATGATCACAATCCACAAAAACCAAAGACTAATCCAACAATAACATTGTGCAGGATTCTCTCATACATATCTAGGATGAAAAATACAAAAACAAGACAATACAATACCAGTACTTTAGCAGTTTCATGGTCAATTAAAAGGCATGGGAGTAAATAAGTTTCTAATTGATATAGGTACATAATTAGACTGCAGTAGTAACCAAAGATAGAAAAATGCATAACTAATGAACAACAAAGGATCCATATCAGCCTTTCTGATGTAAATATATTGAAAAGTATATACATAATTTTAAGAATTACATGGTCATGCTGTGACTACTTGAAACTTTACTAGACTTAATCTATACATGCACTTGTGATAGGGCAGCTATTTTATGTTGAGATTTACTAACCTACATGAGGAAAAGGAAGAATAAAACTAAATCATAACTTCAAACTATAACATTACAATTTTAATCTAAATTTTATTGCTATTAGTTAAATTGGCGTGTACAAATTGAGATGTAGCATAAAGTAATTTTATTAGCTTCTCGGTAAAGCATAAGGGAGTCTACCAGCAATCACAAAAGTTAGGGTTAATATTTGTTATCATTCTAGAAATACAAATACATACTATTCATTTGAATATGATGATCATTAAAAATATATATACAATCCTTAAAATATCATAAGAATAAGTTTAATGCACCTGTTGCATATTTCAAGTGATTTTAATATGAATGAATCTTGCATGGTTATCTTGGTAACCAATATTATTGTCTGCAAACTATCTTGATCAACTATCCTGATCAATAATTACTCTTTTTTTCTTACTAGAACATAAAGAGTTATTTGAAGGAGAATAAACTACACATACTTAATCCTGCTGGATTCCTATTTCCCTGTACTGTTTATAGATTGATAACAATGTGAAACTGAATTATGTAGGAAAGAGAAAGAGAAAAGTACATATGAAATAATTCTAACCTGACAGGTAAAGCTTTAGTGGTTTGCTCTGGTAATTCTGGTGGGTTCACAAACATCAGTTTGAGAAGCAGCTCCAAGTACCCCATATGTCTTGCCAACCTTGTACTTAATACCCAGGCCCAGTTCCAGCTTTCTCCTTCTCTTCGGCCACCAAAGTAAATCACAGCTGTAATAAAATACTTTCTTAACATCTCAATATAAAAAAAGTCATGGAAGTCTGAACAGATAAGACCTTAATACTTATCAAAACTTGCAGAACTAATGAAGCCAAGTGGCTTTGTTGTAGTACTTGGAATTGTCATGAAAAAGAAAGAATTAGCCTCTATTCACAGCCAATTACACATTAGTGGCCTGAACTAAGGCCTGGTCTACACTACGACTTTAATTCGGATTTAGCTGCGTTAATCCGAATTAATCCTTAACCCGTCCACACTACGGAGCCAGTTACTTCGAATTAAAGGGCACTTAAAATCGATTTCTGTACTCCACCCTGACGAGCGGAGTAGCACCAAAATCGATTTTGTTAATTCGAATTAGGGGTAGTGTGGCCGCACACCACCGAATTAATGTGGTTAAAATTAATGGGGTAGTGTGGCCGCACACCACCGAATTAATGTGGTTAAAAACCGAATTAATGTGCTTAGTGTGGCCGCGCACAATCGAATTTATACAATCTGTTTCCCAAATTCGAATTAATCTCGTAGTGTAGACGTACCCTAAGTGTTGTGGAAGCAGTTAGCTCAAGCCACAGAAGTATAATGGCCTTGTTACACCCAACAGTGGTCCCTTCACCAAATGAAAACCAGCATTTCTGGGTTCTAAAGTTGGCCCTATCCAGTCTTTTTTATCACAAGAATAGCAGCTGCAATATAACTCTCATGACTGAGATGGGATTTTAAAGCAAGAAAAAGGTGGCTCTGAGAACACTGTCAGATATGCAAAGGGATCTGTACATACACAGAGTATCAAACTCAGAGCTTGGAAAGAAAGCTAATGAGAAACTGCTTCTCATATTTTATTATGGAAATGCTAGTCATGACTCCATAGTTAAGTAAATACTCTAATTTAAGTTAAAACAAACCAAAAATGGGTCCCTCAAGAAATTTAGCACTCAAACCATTCTTTGCCTTAATAATGGACAGTTACTAAAACAGACTCTTTAAACTAGTTAAAAATCATTGAAATCTTGTGCATTGTCTATGTTTGAAAAAATCAGACTGCAATAAAGCTATGCTACTAAGGGCATGTCTTCACTACCCGCCGGTTCGGCGGGTAGCAATCTATCTATTGGGGATTGACTTATCGCGTCTAGTGAAGACGCGATAAAATCGATCCCCGATGGCTCTGCCGTCGACTCCGGAAATCCACCGCGGCAAGAGGCGGAAGCGGAGTCGACGGCGGCGCGGCAGCAGTCGACTCGACGCCGTCCTCACAGCCAGGTAAGTCGACCTAAAATACGCAACTTCAGCTACGCTATTCACGTAGCTGAAGTTGCGTATCTTAGGTAGGCCCCCCCCCCCGTAGTGTAGACCTAGCCTAACAGTTGTATCTGTTATGGTTATAGACTAAAACAGGTCCAGACCAGTAGCTCAGGTAACTTATATGGGGCAATTATGACATCTGCGTTAACTCAACCAATCACCAGTTAATGTGCATGCTGCAATTCAATTAATTGATATGAGTTAGTAGAGTGAAAGTGAATGTACATCACGACTTCTCATTCATAGATTACTTAGCTGCCAAATATCACTGGACTGGCCCCAACTATTACTGCTCTTAGAAGTTCTGTGGCTTCATGCTAGCAAATTAAGAGTCAGATTCACCAGTATACTCTGGCTGCTTTGTGCTGTTCCACAGATGCAACATTAACTCAGTCCTATAGTGATAGCAAGCAATAATCATACAATTATGGTTAAGCCATATTAATGTCTGGTATCAAATTAATTTAAAGCAAATTTTAAAAAAATTATTATTTTTAATCCTCCCTGCCCCCATCATGGCATCAAGATAAAACAGAGTTACGGGTATTATGAGGACTTAAAATGGGTGTTTCTGCACTTTAACACATATGGGCATCTTTTCAGTTTAATTTATCTCTGAATTTCCTGGATTTGCAATGCCGGTTTTGGTAACAATTACATTTTATATGATATTTTATCGTTAATTTGATATATATATTTTAATTCCATCTTAATATATTTTTTCCAACTGTTTTTAAATATTTCTGCAATTTTAATCACACCCTCTCAATCATTTGAAGTATTACATGTTCATTTTTAAAAACTGAGCCCTACTCTTTTAAAACCTTGCTATTGCCTGAATATTAAGAGCTTCTGTTAAAAATATTCAGTTCCAGAACTGAAGTGACATAAAATTAAGATATGGGAGTTGAGTCAATGAATTTTTACTTAACAGCTATTGTCTAACCCATATTAATGAAGTCAAATGCATTATTTTGCTGTTCTTACTAAGTTTATTCTCCAATGTTTATTATTAAAAACAATGAAAATAAACACTGTTTTCTTTGTGTTTTTTGCAGAATTACTTGACTTTTTTCAGAAGTACAGCATTTGCTTATGAATAAATACTGAACTCTAAAAATAGATAGAACCAGTATGTTGTATATGAAGTGAAAACAGACTTACTAAAGCATATGTATAGAACTGCTAATAAGCTCAGTGCCACAGCTATTCCGAGCATTGTGTCCACTGTGAAAGCAAGCAATAAACCCAGCCCTCCACACAGCAAGAGCGTAAGGAATACAATAAGCCAAGAGAACTGGAACAGAGGTTCAATCTGCTGTCCTGCAAAAGTTTTCATTTCATCTAGAATAGAAAAAGCATACAGAAAAGTCAACCTTAGTTGTATATTTTTATGACACAAAAAATAAATTCCTGCAAACCAATCAAGGAAATTGTGTTAGAACCCTGATAATAACCACCATAGTATGACAGTAATTATGTTATGTATTTATTTCTGGGTTTCAGTTTAAGTTCATAAAACGAGAATTCCTGCAACACATATTTAGTATCCATGGCGTGAGAGGTAAAAAAATTGTGGCATCAATTAAAAAAAATGACTGAGGAACAGCTAAAAAACATTGAGAACAAATGAAAGTTCTCCAAATAGAAAAGTTAACTTAGGGTAGATATTAGCGCCAATAACGTACATTACTTTTATTTATGATGGGAAGGATAAGGTGGAGTGAATGGATATATTCGCTCAAGTAATAATTATTTAAGTTATTCAAACCATAAAAAATTTTAAGCAGAAATGAGTATGTTTGAGTGACAGGGCATTAGGATGATAAATTAAATTGAAGAGATCATTTTAATACATCTTAGAAGTAAGATGATACTTTAACTTTTATGAATTAGATGGAACATCTCAAATATTTACAGGGTCAACCTGGAAATCTCATTGAGCAGCAGTAAATAAGAGTTTACATGCATTACAAAGAGGATAGAGAATACATGGAAAATTTTTAAATGGTATTAAATGAATTAATGGTGATTTTCTCTTCAAATATTGCAGTCAGCCTGATTATGTGCTCTCAAGAAGTTAACCTCTGAAATAAAAAGGTCCTGAAAATGGCAAGGCAAATGACTAGAATCAGAGAACACTTACATAAGAGAATTAAAAAATACCAGAATTTAATTTTGAAAGATAACTAGAAGATGGGTGATACACATAAAAAAAGCAAATAATATCACAAAGAAACAGCCATCAGTATTCACCCTTTCCTATAATACAAAGATAAACTAACTTAAAATTGAAAGTAAAATTCCAAACTAAGAAAATGAAATACTTTCAAAGCAACAGAATTACCATGTGGTGGGATTCACTGCTGCAGGAAGCCTTGCAGACTAATAGGTTAGCAAGATTTAAAAACTGGTTAGATATTGTATAAAATGTACAAATTTATGGCAGCACTAGCAAAATTAAAGGTTATCAATCCTCATGTTTTATATTTTCCCTGATTAATGGGTGCAATATGGAGGGGGAGAGTTTCGGAGAAGAGTTATATATTATCAAACCAGAGACAGGATACTGGACTAGATGGTCTACCTCAGTGTAGAAACGCCTATGTGATATTTTATAGACTATGTATCTAAACATACAAAAAAGCTAAAAATCAAATTTTACCTTCCAGTTTTTTGAGCAAAAAAGATTTCCCACTTCCCCATTGGGCATACAGCCCTACACAGATAGGTGGCTGCATGGTTGGCTCACTGAGAATATCAGCCAAGGCACTGCTATAGAGATCATAACCCAGCATGTCTCCATCAGTTTCAGTAGGAGACAAATGCCCTGTAATGTAAATATAATACATTATGTTTTTTTCATATTCTATATTTCACACAATTACTTGAAATCTAGACAAATTTACTTGTATAATAAATAATTCAATGGAAAAACAACAACAAAATCATCGTTTCTGTATATATATTCCTGCTCAACTGGATTTCAACTATAAGTTTTAAACAGTATAGTTAGAATATAGGATGCAGCTCACAGGAACTGTATAGTTGTCAAAACTATTAAGAGTTAATATGCAAGGACTCAAACAATATCCCACAATTGCAGCAAGTTAAAGCAAATGAATTCCTCTCAAAAACAAGAACTAAATATAGACAAAACCGAATGCAAGGGAGTCATTGTCGACACATCTCACATTAGTTTTCTGTTCAGAAACAAATGACAAAAGCTTAATTCTAAATCTAATAGGACTCTGGAATAATGGATTTTCCTACTATATTCCTGTCAAGCTCTAATTTTCTTTTCAGATCACCACCTTTCCCCATATTAAAATTGCACATGTCTAAACTACACTCAATTTTCATCATACAATGGGATAAACAGAAACATGGCCTTAGAAGATTCTTCTAATGCACCTAGTTATTTAATCCTTTAAATCCTAGTAGGAGCTCTATTCCCTTCAAAAGCAGATATCAATACTTAAGGAAAAGACAAATAATGCTCACACTTACTGGCACCAAATATCTGAGTTAAAATACTTTTCTGGTGGTTACAGTCAATGTTATAAGGTGTCTCTCCTGCTTTGTTGGGTCTGTAAAGCAGTCTGCCATCTTTTGGATTTCTTAAAAGCAGTTCTGCAAGTTTACGGCTTCTTCCACGAATGGCAATATGAAGTGGAGTATCTCCTTTCTGTAATTAAATCAAGTGAAAAACTCTAGTAATAGCAATAGGTGTTGTTAATTTTGAAAAGTGAGATTCTGAATGTAATATATATTTCAAAATATTAGTGTGGTGTAGTTCACCGAAACAAAATATATTTTAAAGAAATCTTAATGACATAAACCTCTCCCTGGTACACGCTCCCTAATGTAACATTGAAGAAATTCACCAAAAAGTTAACAACATGTAGGCAAGGGAGAAGGATAATAATAGTAAAAATACATTATAAAAAATTCAGCTATCTTAAGTAGTCTTTCTCCATATTTTAAGGCCCATGAAACCAAAAGTTGCTATTAACATCAATCTTCTAGTAACTTCAGACACTTAAAAACCAGTTATGCTATTTTCTGCTGTATAAAACTGTGTCACACTGACAGCTTTAACTAGGAAAGCATTTTCAAGGTCTTAAAGTTTCCCATAACAACAAATCAATACCACATTAATTTTGTTATTCATTATTATTTACCTCCCAAAAATGTGTTCAGTGCTTTACAGATGTAAAATAAAACAAGCCTGTCTCTCCAAAAAGCTTGCAATGTAAATGGACAACATATAGAGTAAGATGAAGACAGGAGTGGAAGGAAGAAGAAAATAGCAAGAAGAAATACACAGAACTGGTTATGGGGTTATTATGGGCAGTAGAGTACATCATGTTAGTCCTTTGACTCACTTATTTAATTATTTTTAGAGTATCAATCAAAACCAAATATGAGTGCCAAACAATAACACTGATCTAAACAGAGAGAAAGGAGACAGATTTGGCCACATGATTTTGTCCATCTCATCACTGTTGGTCCTCAGGTTAATTAAGTTGTGTTATGATTCTTTGGGCTTATTTTGAAATTGCTTGCCCAGACTTGCACTCCTGGCAGAATTAATCAATTAGCACTTGCTTGTTTTCAACTGTTTTATTGCATTTGTGAAATTCCTTTTTATGCATGAATATAAAATTTAACTTCTTCTGGGATTGTATATCACTGAACACAATACAAATTAACACTTTAAAAGTATGAATGTTAATGGATGGAACCTATATATGTTTTATTTTCTAGTGTTCTTATCAAGCATAATCAACTCAATTTACACATAATGTGACAGCTTGAGAAAATGTGTACATCAGCTTATGAATTGCATTTGTCTTGTGAATTCCATTTATGACTAGGGTTGCCATGCGTCTGGTTTTCCCAAAAGACAGGGCTCTATCTGGCTGCAAAAAACACTCATGATTCACTACCAAATTTGTGTACAAAATTAACATGACTAGACATTCTATAAATAAGTTACCAAATATTCTTTACCTTATCAATAGCAGAAACCTTAGCTCCTTTATCCAGCAGAAGCTCTACTATATCAATATTTCTCATCTTGGTTGCTTTTATAAGAGGTGTTTCTCCATCCTAAAAGTAAAAATTAGAAGAAAACGTATAAAAACCTCCATACAACATCATTCCTTTTGACCAACCATAATTAGTTGACCAACCAAAAATTTACTTTTAAGAGAGGACACTTTTATAATTCTAGAAGCATCACTACACAAAAAATAGTGCTTCCCAACTTTTCCCTTAAAAATGCACTTACTCTTCAAGAACACAATAAACTGATCAAAGGCATTCATCATAAGCAATGTAAATGCCTTTCTACAGACACTTCATTACACAGTCCAAAGCCAGTTGCTTTCATAAACAAACAATCTAAAAGGGGCGCGGGGGGGGGGGGGGGGGGAATGCCCATAATATGGCTACCAATGCATTTGGGGAAAAAGTTAAATCATTGCTATGTATAGTATTCTCTCTTTTCAATTCCTGTACATGCAATCACTGACTGTCAGAGCTCAAGTTTATTAGCACAGTCTCTCCTTCTCCCTCACCACATACACTGCCACTCACTTTACCTCAGCAACACCAGCATCACCAACAAGAGTCTCTCAGTTTCCCTACTGAATGGCTCTTACCGAGCAGTGATTGGTTCCTATCAGCAAAAGGCATGGCTACAGAGGGTACAGAGCACTAATTATATAGCACAGAAATATAAAGCTGAAATTAACCAGTATTGTAAGAGTGAACTGTCCGCATTGCCAACAAAATTGGAATTTGGTGTTATGGTTTCAAATCCATGCAGGAGGAAAACAAAAGAGAAGAGTCTTAGAATAATAAACACACCATATCTGTGGTTACAATCCCAGTCACTTACCTTTGTACACATTTCAGTATCAGGATTGCACTGCAAGATATCTCTCACCATTGTAGCATTTCCTTTCTCAACAGCCCAATATAAAGCAGTTTTGCTATCCTACAAAACAAACAAAACAACATTTTGGATTTACACAGCACTTTTCATCCAGCAGCATCCATTTTGTAGACCTTATGGGATAATCACTATTTAAAGTCACACAGCAAAATTATATCACAGTTCAAGAAAGGCAGAGGACACGATCACATCCAACTAAAACCTCAAGTGGATTTTGGGTAAGCAGAACATAATTCCTTACATCAGAATTTGGCTAGAAAATAGGGGATAACACCTGTATAAGGTGCCAGGAGGATCTTTAATTACTCAAAATAGTCAGGACCTGCTTTAAGTACCATCCAAAAGATGACACTTCCAACAACACAGCAACTCCTAACACCATGCTAGGGCATTGCTTCAGTAATGACTCAGAGGGAAATGTATTACCTATGGAAAAATCAACACCATTTCTTGCAGATTGCTAGGTTTTCTCAGATAGGTTTTACAATACAAGTATAGAAACGGCCCAAATCTTCTTTACTTGCAAGATCAGAGGTCTTTGTACTGAGTTTTTAGATAACTATGAAAAATAATGTATGTAACATTAATGGGGGAAAAAAGGAAGCCTTCAGAGAGACGAGCATACAAGGCAATCTGATTGGATGATTCATCTCTATGAGTGAGGACCACCCAAGATGTAGTGCATAGGGCAATGATGGGAACAATGTTTGCCAATGCAACAAAGCCTTCAGGCCATCCTAATTTGGTGGCCAGACACCTTGGTGACTGTACAAGCAGGTCCAGGACATGGGTTTGACTTCTTGTCCCACCCTGTGTATGTTTTTTTCCCTACCCACTCTCAAGTTCAAGGAAGGGTACTGGTGTGGAACTATCTGTTGGGCTTGCAACTAGTTCATGAATTGGGAGCCAGGGAAGAGACATGAAGGCTTGCAATACAGAGTTCTGTTATGTCATTTGCCATTGTATACATGTGGTATATTTCTAGGTGTAGATATTTTTGGATTGGTATGGTGTCCAGCCAACTGGTCCTGTTTCTCCTGGAATTCCTCTCCTGTTGATGGTTCATAGATCCAATCACAAAACTAGCTCCATGCCTGAGGAGCAGGTCCTTTTTCTTCTCCCTCTCACAAGAGCCTCTAGTAGCAGAAGCTACTCTTTGTTTTACAGGGCTCCAAGCTCTTTCTTTGCACGTACAGAAGAAAGTAGAAGTTATAGCCAGCACGAAGGACCAGAAGAAAATGCTTCACAGTCTACAGTACTGGAAACACTAGTGTAAGATACTGGCTCTGGTGATCAGTTTAGTGCCTGACTATGTTGTGCTTAGGCAGGACCAAGTGGTCCCAGATTTATGGTCAAGGAAGAATAGAAGGTCTCACCACTAGAGAGTTAGCTTATAAGTACTCAGTCATTTCTTTCAGTGTGCTGGCAGACCCACTGAGAAGTCTGGTCTATTTGCATGGCCTGAGGTTTAAATATTTAGCCAAAAAATACAGTAGTTTTTAATATTTAGATTTAAAACTTGGTCTACAAGCCATACAATTTCTCCAAGCAGAGCTTGGGGGGAAAAATCCACTTGTTTACTCACCAAGGGCAAGCAGGAAGCTTTTGTAGGCAATGGTCATCAACTTTTGCAGAATCAAAAGATTAATTTTCTAGCTCTTTTGCCTGAGAAGATAACCTGATAACCCTTCAAAAACTAACCATGTATGAATCGGTGTAGTGTTGTCTAAGTCTGCCAACAGACTACTGAAGTATCTCTGCTGTTTGTTACAACTTTAGCAAGCCACAATACAATGAAAAATGATCTGGCTTTAGTCTGTTTTCACTGGCAGCTTTGTCCCACTGTTGCTTGGAAAAGCTCTGACCTGCACCAGAAGCTATTCAGTGAGGAAGACCTAAAAAACAGAGACTTGGGGAAGGAGGTCAAGCAGTGGTGACCCAGCCTTCCCTCTTCAATGTTGCAGCCAAGCAACTACAAGAAAGTTTTCCTTTTCTATTCCAGCAGCCTGAGGACACTGAAGGGCTCCAAATTTATCAGACATGTAGTAGACAAAAGCTGATATGACAAAGATGGAACTCAGAAGCAGGGTCCAGTGACAGCATGCTGGAAGGAGGCCTAAAAAAACCCTCCCCCTTTCATAGCTGCTGCGGGAGACAGCTTGGCTTCTCTCTTGGTCATTGCACAGACACTGGGGCACCATAACTATTTTGTTTCTGGCTAGTAAGTTTAGTGTTCTAGCAAGTATGGCATGGGTGCTTTATAACACACCAACATACAGGTGGTGGGGAAAAGGTTAAAGGAGTAGAAGGAATGATTGGATGTGATAAGTTTGAAAAGAGAAATACAGTATTGGGAGAGAGGCTTCAGGGGGAGAAGAAAGAAGAGACAGAAAACATGGAAGAAGTTAGAAAAAAGTGAGTAGAAGCAGAGTGTGGAAGAAAAAACTAAAGTAATTGATGATAATGCAGAGTATTAAAAGAAAAAGAAAAAAAAGAGTGGAGTTAAGCCAGGAAGGGAAAGAAGTTCTAACAAAAACAAGAAAGACGTTGTGAGTAGGCCTGGTCAAATAGTACTGACAACAAATATTTCTCAGTGAATTTCACCAATATATTTAATATAATTTATTCAGCAAATATATTATGGGAATACTAGTAAAATGCATCAAATATATTCAATAAATATTTTTTCTGATAGGTAATTAAAAGTAAAGAGTTGGTTGACAATATATTTTTATTAAATACAGCATAGAAGATTTATTCCGTCAAACTGCAAGAGCAGTGTCAGAAGAGATATTTTTTTCTTCATACTAGTTAGTAAACTTTGTCCTCTGGCTGGTAGACTATGGACAAATTTTTCAAGTTGTATTTTTCAGGAAACTGTACAATTCTCAACTTCACATTCCACCTAAGGGACATAAAAAAAATCAACACCATTGTACTTACCTGACCTCTAATGTCTATGTCAGCATATTTATGTAGCAGGGCCCTCACAATTTCAACATGACCTCCTCTAACAGCCCCTATCAACACAGTGTCTCCGCTCTGAAAATAAATTAAATGATAGAAAACAGGAACAATAGGTTAATCTCCCTCATATGATTAAAATGATTTACCAAAAAGAAAACATAACATTTTGCCTGAAAATCACATTAGATAACAAATTATAGCCTATGAACATATAAATCATGTCAATTTTTACTAAATCTTTATATAACGAAGTTCAGATTACCAATTAGTAGTTTACACTGGTTAAGTATACTCAGATAGTAGAAAAGGCTTCCATTTTAAACAACAAGTATTTTTATTGCAAAGAGGTCAGACATTAAGCGTTTGAAGTAAAACATAATCATGTGCAAGATTACAATTTGAGGGACCAAATCTTAAAATAAAGCAAGCATAGAAAGAACGAGAAAAAATAAATATGGGAAAAGATAAATTTTTCTTGCTTAAGTCTGTGTTAATTCATAGGTAGCCTACAGAAATGTCATTTTGAAGTCCTTCAGGAATTTGTGCTTTTTCTTCATAAAGCAATGGGGTTTTTTTATACTGAGGTCTTCTCTTTTGATAAATAAATGCTGTATGCAAGGGGTTGATTCTGGTCTCAGTTACTCCAACATAAAAAAAGAAGTCATTGGAATTATATGGGTATACAATCTGAAGAATAAGGCCTAAAATCCAATTTAAATTTTATTTAATAACTCTCAATTCACATAACTAGTAATTGTTATAGCATACAAAAAATGAAGCCATGAACTGATATGACATGTCTAATTTTTTTCCATAGTGAAATAGAGAAAATAAATGCCATCAGTAAATGAACAAGTAAATCTAAACTTAATCACCATTTTGTATAAGCAGTCTAACCGCCTGAATTTCAGTAACATCCCCTCCCTGGTAGCAAAATTCTAAACTTAAATGCTGCAAGTCAAAATGGGTGCTAGTGCTACTGCTATTCACTATTTTAAATCCCTCTGTGTAATACTGTTTTCATTTGCAGTGTCAACCGTAATCAAAATAATATTATTCTATCTCAAAATTTTATTTTTTCTTTACTTTTTGTCACAATGAGTAGTGGACCTAAATTTGTACCGAAAAGGAAAGGATGGGGGGAGACGGGAGAGCATATAATAAGATTAAGTATCCTTTGGAACTGTGAAATTATTATTCATCCAACACCATACCTCATAAATTGGGACACAAATCAGAAAATTTAAAAATGAGGAATTCCAATCCACTCCAATTAGAAGTCACTACATATCTGGCTCCTAACAGAAGGTGAGAGTATTAAGTATTTTAACCTTTGTTTCTGTAAGACCAATAATTTTTCATGCCACATACACCATCAGACACACACTGCGGTTTAGTACAAAACTGTTTAGGAGACACATGAAGTGGATATATAAGTGTGGAAACCATTAGTGGCAAAAATATATACTTTTTGAACTCTGGCAGCAACCATTGGGAGTTTTTCTCACTGAGCCAAATATATTATGTGTTAGTATTTAGCAGAACAAAATCTTAGCTGTTTAATGGTATAAATCAATCCCTACTAATTCTGTCAAGCTCAAAGATATCAGACCTTACTTTAACCTCATTCTGATTACTATCTTCCCCCGCCTCCCGCAGCCACCGCCAATGACTTTCAATATGATTTAAGCCTCCGCTATCAAAAAAACACTAGAGCAGTGGAGTCACAAGAGGTAGTAGCATACATATAATTCATTATGATGATTACTTGCTGCTGTAAAATGATTCCTATCATTTTTATGCATCAATTTTACCTACCGTATATACTCGATCATAAGCCAGTTCGTTTATAAGCCGACCCCCCCCAAGATGAGTAAGTAAAAATAGAAAATGTTTATAACCCGTTCATAAGCCGACCCTATAATTCAGGGGTCAGCAAACTTTGGCTCCCGGGCCATCAGGATAAGCCGCTGGTGGGCCGAGATGGTTTGTTTGCCTCGAGTGTCCACAGGCACGGAGGTACACCTAAGTAAACAAAGTGTCCCAGCGTGCCAGCTGCTTACCCTGATGGGCCGGGACAGCAACTGGTGGGAAAATTTGCGGGGGAGAGGGGAGAAGATGGGAGTCAGGGGAGTAACCACTGTGACCACCCCCCACATGACACCACCCCTAGCCCAGGACCCCCCCCACTCTCCCCATCCCATCCCATCCCTTCCAACCTTATTTGGGGAGGGCCAGGGGAGGATGTCTCTGACCCGGCTGGAGCTGCTCTGGCAGGCTGGGCCGGGCGGCACGGCGGCAGCGTGCTCCGGCAGGCCGGGCAGCACGGCCGCAGCATGCTCTGGCAGGCCGGGCAGCACGGCCGCAGCCTGCTCGGGGGGGGGGGGCCAAGCGGCACAGCTGCAGCCTGCCAGACCCGGAGCTGCAGCTGCTTTGGAGGCTGGGGGAAGAGCAGCGTGGCCAGAAGTGGAGAGACTCTGGCCCCGCCTCTTCCCTTCTGTCTCTGCTGGCTGTGCTGCCTCTCCTTGCTCCCTCTGTTGTGGGGAGGGGAGTGTCCCACCTCTCCCTCTCTATACCCGTTCATAAGCTGACCCCCTTCTCTGGTGCTTCCCTTTTTTACTAAAAAAATTCGACTTATGAACTCAAATGGAGCCAATGTCCTTTGTTTTAGACCTAGAAAAGTATGCTTAACATTTTGATTCCAATAATGACAGCTTGTGAAATATTAGCTGCAAATTTCTATCACTACTGAAGAGAGAAAAAGCAAGATGCCAATCCAGAATGGCATGACCAAGTTCCACTACCTTGTAACTTGACAGTGCTAGAAACACTTTGGAAACTATTAAAAAGTGCCTCCAGACCCATTACATTTTTCTAAACACTTGCTGTGTCAGAAAAAAAAGTTTGATCTCTGTCAAAAGTGAAAAAGGCATTGAAAATGCAAAAAACTGACTTTCTGGGAAACAATATTTATTTAATTAATATTAATGCTAGAAGGGACAACCCTGATCGCTTATTCTCATTTCCTGAATAACAAAGACCATAGAATATCAATCAGTAATTCCATCAAGGGAGAGTATTATTCTTCACCATCCAATAAATGAATCCTGAGTTCAATATATTATGGTTGACCTACAGCATATCTTTTGGAAGGACATCAAAAAACAAAAAAGAACATCTGTTAAGAAACTCAAGTGGATGTTCCCACAGTGTATTGCACTGCTGTGTTAACTCAGGTCCTGAATGGATTTCATGACTTACAAACCAAGGGAGCTGGAAAAAGCCCTGCTGAAGAGGTGACATTAGTCCACCTATACGTTAGTGGAGACTTGTAATGCCAGAAGAATGTTAGACTTTCTTTAGCTCTATACAAATAGCATCTCTTTTTCCTATCAAGCATGTGGCCCATGGCTGATTTAAAATGGTAATACAAAAGTCTGCCACCTAGTGGCAGAAAATTAAAAAATAAACATGAAAATATTTAGTATATATGAATTAGTCACACCACTATACACTGGAATAAAGTTATGCAGGCTAATATATCAGGCATATGTTTGACACCAAGTTTATCATCAGAACACTTACTAACCCTATCAGGAATGTTCACATAAGTTCCTGCATCAAGTAGATCCTGCACAATTTCAGTATGCCCTTCCTTTGATGCAATCATCAACGCTGTATTTCCGTCTTTATCTGTTAAATTTACATTTGGGTTCCTTTTCAGAATTTCCTTTACTGAGTCAGTGTAACCACCTTTTACTGCTACAATAAGTGCAGTCATAGAGTTCTAAAAAAAAAAAAAAAAAAAAAAGAAGAAGAAAATATTACATCCTAAATAAGGGATACAAATAATTATAATACCTGAATACTGCAAGGTATCTAAAGAAGAATGAAAGATTTCTCAGGAAAGTATCAAATACTTTCTCAAGCATTCAAATGTTAGCATAGATTTTTATTAAATGTACCGTATATGGTAGTATGTACTTTATAAAGTTTAAAAATAAACAAACAGGCACTATCTCGAAGAACTTTCTAAGTGCGAGCATTAAAACCTAAAGCAATTTATCATAACTTCTGAAAAAAATATGAAATGTACAATCTTTCTGCAGTATTATGAAAATAATATCAGTTCATCAGTGCACTAACTATGCCAATTTCATTTCAGAAAAATAAATTAGAACCACTTTTTTAATTTGTTTACATATTACACAAACACCCAGAACACAAACTGTTTTTTATTGCTCACTTTGAAGTGAGAATATTACCCTCCACTGTCCCTCCTCCAACCATCTGAAGAGTTATCTAGAATGAAATGTTAATGAGATAGCAAAGTTTTCATTAGCGACTAGACTGTAATGCCCTTACATTAAGTAGTATGTTTCTTCTTGAGCAGTCTCACTGATTTCAATGGGATTATGTGAGGAGTATTTGCACTACTTTTCAGAGTGAGAATATCACAATCTAAATGTGAATGATATGAAATGTTTAAATGATAAGAAGAACGCTGAAAGGTTTTTTTTTTTGGGGGGGGGGGTAATTTTTTTTGTTTTTTGTAGGGTTATTTGCAGCACCCACTTTAACCTGTATAATTAGAGCAATTTAAATATCCATTTTCATCAAAGATCCATATGTTGTGAAGCCAAACAGAATTCCTGTTTTACTAGTTTAGGGCTTGACTATTATTTCAGTACCCATACATCAACATATAGTGTATATTGAGAGAGTACCCTACTACACTCAAATTCAACATTTCTCTTCATCAAAGCATAACACTGTATCTGAATTCAGGATGCAATTCATTTACATGAATTCTTGGGGACTGTCAGCTTAGTCTATCACATTAGGCCCCAATCCTGTAAAGAGAACTGCTCAGGTGTAGGGGTTTGCCTACATGTTTCCTTTGCAAGACTAAAGATTGAGAGAGGCTGGTGCCATATGAATTTAATATAAGTACTACGTGTTCTTATGGAATTTTTACTGAACATTTTATGCAGAGATGTCACCTTTCTAAATGAACTAACTACATTATTTTCAATTCAAATATCGAATAGTCTTTAATAAAGATTTAGAAATAGAAACAGCCTTTCAGTTATAAGACAAAATAGACAACTAAAGCAATACGTTTTAAACATTATCTGGAAAACACGAAGAGCCACACCAGCTTTTATATATGATTTATTATTCCAATAGCACCATGTGATAGGTCCTTGGCATACCAAGATTCTGCTTATCAGAGAGTTTTGACACCGTAGTTAAATCTCTAAAAATAGCAACTGACAATCTATTAAGTTGTGACTCCTAAAACATAGCACAGATGTTCCTTTTCATTGTTGTATAAATCCAAAGAAATAAAATGTGTGCCATTGTTTCTGTAATGTATCTGTTAAACTTAAAATTCATAGTTTAAAAAATTATATAGCAATGTCACAGCTAAAAGTACGAAATCTATAGTCATAAAAAGCTCTCTGATAGTTTGATTTCTTGTATGCCTTTTTGATTATATCTTAAAAAATAACCCACACACAGATCAAGACCAATAAATTGCATTTTCTTCATTGTCAACATTTAGCTTTGTTTTATTTTTGCACACCAGAAACGTAAATCTGTTTATGCTGGAAACAAGACATGTGGACACATCTTACCATGGAAAACAAAATTAGTTACTTACAGCCCCTTCTTGATCAACATCAGCGCCCATCTGCAGCAAGTATTTCACACATTCCAAATGACCCTTCCTAGCAGCCCAAATCAATGCTGTGGTTCCATACTATAAACAAAATCAATCACAAAACTTATTAATATGTTCTTTCAAATTGAGTTGCTGTATTTAATGTCAAGAATGGACTATTGTCCTACATCAGAGGTGGGCAAACTACAGCCTGCGGGCCACATTCGGCCCACGGAACCGTCCGGCCCGGCCCTTGAGCTCCCGGCCGGGGAGGCTAGCCCCCGGCTTCTTCCCCGCAGTCACGCCGCCGCGCAGGCAGCGCTCTGGGCAGCGGGGTTGCATGCTCCTGCCAAGCAGTGCGGCAGCATGTCTGGCTCTGGCCGGGCGGCGCAGCTGCCAGACATGCTGCTCTGAGCGGCATGTTAAGGGGGCCAGGGCCAGGGGGTTGGATAAGGGGTGGAGGATACAGGGGGCAGTCAGGGGACAGGGAGCGGTTGGATGGGGCGGAGGTTCTGGGGGGCAGTCAGGGGACGGGGGGGTTGGATAAACTTGGGAGTCCCGGGGGGCAGGGGACTGTCAGGGGGCAGGGGTGTGGATAAGGGTCAGGGGACAGGGAACGGGGGGGCTGAATAGGCGTGGGGTCCCGGGGGGACTGTCAAGGGGTGGGGGTGTGGATAGGGGTCAGAGCAGTCAGGGGACTGGGAGCAGGGGGGTTGGATGGGGGTGGGATCCCAGGGGCGGGGGTCCCGGGAGGGAGCGGTTAGGGGACAAGGAGCGGGGGGGTTGGATAGGTCAGGGGTTCTGAGGGGGGCAGTCAGGGGGGTCAGAGGCCAGGCTGTTTGGGGAGGCACACAGCCTTCCCTACCCGGCCCTCCATACAATTCTGCAACCCTAATGTGGCCCTCGGGCCAAAAAGTTGGCCCATCCCTGTCCTATATTGTCTAGCACTGTGTGCTCGGCACTATAAAATACACAAAAATAAAGACAGGCCTTGCCTTCCCCAATTATTTTACAGTATAAAAAAAGATACACCCCTCATAATCATAACAGATGCATATCATAGGAGTGGAGTTTTATGGAAAAGTTTTGAGAAGACACTGGTATCTTAGCATACTGGGTTATTCCCTGGATAGGAGGCAACATGTAAAAATTCATGGAGATGAGAGCTGGAGAAGGAAATTAACAGCACAGTGATGCTAAAAATCACTGGTAGAAAGATAGAATAGGGGAAGACAAGACCCACAATGTAAGCATGTGGAGCTATAATGTCAAGAAATTTAAACGTAAAGCAGTTCACAAGGAGTTTACCGGGGGCAGGAGGGAAACAGGGAAGTGCACAAAGTGGTGATCGATGCATTTTGGATGGATCAGGGGAAGATGTAGTGCAAGCGTCAAGGCAGTTACTGAAGATCCTACAGTACGTACAAGTTAGGAGACTATGGAGGACTGGACAAGCATTCTGGATTGGTCAAAGTTTCAATAAGGTCTCAACAGTCTGCAATAGCGGTGTATTAGTTTCTGAAGGACTGTGAGGTGCAGGATTTGATTTATAAAGCCACAAGGCCCCAATCCAGCAAAGTAAACTAAGCATATGCTTTACTTTAAATCATGTGAATAGTAGACCCACTGAGTTGAATGGGAATATTCTCATGCTAAAAGTTAAGTATGTGTTTAAGGCATTTGTTGGATCAGGGACTAAATGATTTCAGTCTTTCCCATTTGAGAGACCACCTCTCTCCCCATGTAATATTGCTGCTAGTGTGGTAAGCTTAGCTAATGATCTTTTAGTCCCCTGCTTTTGAAATGAGAGAGACAGCTTGTGGTAAGACTTTTTTTTTTTTTTTTTTTTTTGAGCGATCCTTGACTAACTCAATTCCTCCTCCTATCCCCCACCCCCAAAATTTCAGAGTATGCTTCAACATGCATCTAATTTCTTAGGCATTTTATGAAGGGTTTGGTTGAAAACTACAGTTCAGGTAATAATTTAAACTGTGACTGAGAACAGTGTTTGGGTAATTTTTGTATTAATCAGTGTGTATAAGCACCAAGATTTCATGAAAGGCTGCTTTTAAATATCAAAAATAAAGATATATATTGTAGGAATTCCTGTACAGCTGTTCTTTGAAAGTTTCTTACTTAATACAAGGAATAAAATCCTATAATTAATGACTACCAGTTTCAGCTGGGAAAAGATTGTTTGAAAGATCAATCTGAGGGGTATTTTCAGACACGTGCAATTTTTTAAAAAAATATTATTTTGCTCTATGAAGAGCCATACCATCTGTTTATAGGCAGAGAGACATCCAGAGCACCACAAAGGGGGTCACTTAATAGCAGCTGTTTATAAAAGGAAACTGACTAGCAATCTAGTAAGTTTTTACAGATGGAAGTGTAAAGAGCTTGTATGAGGAAAGGGTTTTATTCTTTTAACTCTAAGAGTCTCATTGAGGACTTAAACTTAACAACCCAAATTTCAAAAGTAAGCTTCCCTAATAAATAATATGTCCCTTAAGGTAAGAGTGAGAAGGGGATTAAAAGAATAAGCAATGTTTTAATGTTGTATTGTTATACAAGACAATGATAAAAACAATATAGAATGTTAAAATATTAAGGTTTTTTTTTTTTAAATGACCTGCTAGTTTGCAAAATGGAAAATGAAGTGAAATGTGTGTTTCAAAACTCAGTACTTAGTAATTTACTTCCATTTTCATCCTTTGGTTAAGTGTCATCAGTCTACATTTTCATTATCGCACCTGACCCACGCCTTGGAACTGGAACTTATAAAATAATCCAAAGAATATTTAATTGTCCAGGAAGTAACTTTGAATTAAAAAATTAATTTTGTCATCCAATTTCTCCTTCTGAATATTTCAACTAAACCTTCCAAAGAAATAATATTTATTTTTAATCTTTTTTATGATCTCATCTTTATTAGGTGATCAAACTTATTTGTGAAAGCAATAAGATGGAGGTGGTATTCTCTCGCCTGGCCTATTAAGCTTATTTATTTAGTCTGAAGCTGTGTTTTCAGAAGCTATTAGCTTTGGAACAGTGATCAACTAACTGGTCAAAAAGCTAGACTTCACAAACTGAAGTTACCACATTTTAAATGCTTGCAATTTTAACTCCTTTCTCACAGGCTTCTAGATATCAGAATTATATATGTATGCAAGTGACATTAGCACCATTTCCAAAAGCTATAGAAGCAAAAGGAGAAAAAACATGATTTAAGGTAATCAGTGTTCAGTGCGATATTTTGATATTATATTTAGTATATTACTCACTGTAAACTGTTCTATACTATGAAGCAAGAAGATTTGCAAAAGATATAGACCAAGCCACCGGCTTGGCAAGTACCACAGGGATTTAACCATGTGAGGAAAAAATGTAATTTAGGCTAATTTTTCAGAATCAGTGACAAATGTTTTAGTCAGAAAGTGTTGTATAAATTTTGAAATTCTTGCATAAATGAAATGTTTAATGAAGAAGAGAAATTCTGGATATTATATGCTCGATAATTTCCTGGACGTTTGACACTCTTTCCTAGGCTGTACAAATAATTCTGTAATAATATAAAAATGCTAAACAAAGATCATAGCTTACTTTATCAGAGCAGTTGACTTTAGCTCCATGTTGCAGTAAGAGATGTACGATATCTGAGTGGCCACGTCCTGCTGCCCAAATGATTGGATAAATGCTATATTGCTTGGATCAGATAACAACAATATAAAAACTAAGCACGTGAAACAAAAACATATTCCTAACTCTACTTGTTTTTTATTTATACATTAATATCTATCAGAATGCCTCAGACTTCATAAAACATGAAAAGAAATGCACACAAAATTATGTACTGATCATACTTCAGTAACTGTTGCCAATTAAATGGGTCAGTAGTAGACAAGTCATGTATTGTTTGGACACAGTTACTCTTAACAAGGATTTTAAAAGATCATATCCTAATACCTCACTATTTACACAGTTGTGATGACAAACACAAACTAAAAAAAACACTACGTACATATAACAAATTTATATAAGCTTCAAGTTGTCTACATTTATATGACACCTTCTAATATCAATGGGAGCTAATAATGCCAACACATGCAGAAGACAGAATAGATCCCCAAAAATCAGTATCATGACTAGTCTTCCCAGGAGTTTCTGTATATACGACAAAATTACAACCCAGACTATTTGTTAGTTATCAAGAAATAATTAAAACAAGAGATGTTACTACTCTTAATTGTTTATAAATGTTTATTAAATTATTAATTTTTAGAAATAAAGTACCGTATATACTCGTTCATTAGCCCGTTCGTTTATAAGCCGACCCCCCTAAGATGGTTTGGTAAAAATAGCAAAAACTGTATGATCCTTTCATAAGCTGACCCTATATTTCAGGGGTTGGCAAACTTTGGCTCCTGGCCCGTTAGGGTAAGCGGCTAGCGAGCCTGGACGTTTTGTTTACCTGGAGCGTTCACAGGCACGGAGCCCCTCAAGCTTCCAGTCTCCGCGGTTTGCGGTTCCCAGTCAATGGGAGCTGCGGGAAGTGGCATGCCACTTCCCGCAGCTCCCATTGGCTGGGAACCGCGAACCGCAGCCACAGGGAGCTGAGGGGCTCCGTGCCTGCAGAGGCTCCAGGTAAACAAAATGACAATGTATTAGATATTCAATTCAATGATTCCACAGAGTTTAAAATCATCAAATTTTGGTGTAGACTTGTTTATAAGCCGACCCCCGCTCTTCGATGCGTCACTTTTTTACCAAAAATATTCAGCTTATGAACGAGTATATACGGTAATTAAAACTGAATAGAATTCTCCTTCTAATGTACATGGCTTACTATACATAGAAATTACTGTCACTATCTTAATATATTACTGATGTAAACCTTACTGAAATCTATAAAATCATCTGCTCCAATAAACAATAGTTGCTGTGATACTAAATCATAAAATTACCACTTTATTGCCATGAAATGCAGTATAAAATGTTATATAACTCATAGTTCTTTGCAAGATAATATTACTACACAATTCAGGTTTTTGAGGGATCTTTCTCCACTCAAAGATCAAACCTTACCTGCCCAGTGACGTTTGGGTTTGCTCCTTTCTCAAGAAGCAGCTCAGCTACTTTAGTACAACCTTTATATGATGCCCACATTAGGGCTGTCCACCCTCCCTGTAAAACACAATAGAGAAAAATATTAGAGAGATTTATTTAAAACCTATATTTATGCATTTTCTTTTGTTGCACACCTGTTCTTAGACTCCTGTTTATGAGCCTATCACAAGCAATAGTGACAAATGTTGCCATCTTACTAGTCTAAAAATTCAAACATGTAAAATTTTAAGTTAAACTTTTTTTGCTGCAACATATAGAACTTAGGGCGGGAAATGGGGAAGAGGAAGGAAAATGCGCTCCTAAATGATTTTACCAAACTTGCTGCACACAAAATCACAGACTTAAAAAAAAGCACTGCGGAATTTAGTTTGAATAAGATGCTTCCATAATGGCTTTCAAGTGAAGGTGGACAAACCTGCCAATGTTACAGTTGAATAAAAGTTATTGGGAAACCCATGGACAAATTTGAATTCACTGTTCTATAAAACTAAACAGACAGAGTTCAAGAGCAAGGCTTGCCACTTGAATGTGCATCGTTCCACAAAGGAAAAGCATACAGAAGCTCCTCACTTAACGTTGTACCGGTTAATGTTGTTTCATTATTAGGTCGCTGACCTATTAGAGAACATAGTCCTTTAAAGTCCTGCAATGTTCCCTTATAACTCTGTTTGGCTCCCACGCACCGCCCGCCCGGTGCTCCTGCCGGGGACCGGGGGTTGGGGCATGGGAGCTTGCCCCGCTCCACCCGCCCGGCGCTCCTGCTGGGGAGCAGGGTCGGGGAACGTGGGCTTATATTATATTATATTATATATCAGGGTTGGCAACCTTTCAGAAGTGGTGTGTCGAGTCTTCCTTTATTCACTCTGATTTATGGTTTCGCGTGCCAGTAATACATTTGAACGTTTTTATTAGGTCTCTTTCTATAAGTCTATAATATATAACTAAAGTATTGTTGTATGTAAAGTAAATAAGGTTTTTAAAATGTTTAAGAAGCTTCATTTAAAATTAAATTAAAGTGCAGAGCCCCCCGGACCAGTGGCCAGGACCCAGGCAGCGTGAGTGCCACTAAAATCAGCTCACGTGCCGCCTTTGGCATACGTCAATAGGTTGCCTACCCGTTATATATTAAACTGTGTATGTATATAATGTTTTTTGTGTGGCAAAAAAAAAATCCCTGGAATCTACCACCACCACCCCCAACATACACACCCATTTACATTAATTCTTATGGGGAAACTGGATTCGGTTAATATCATTTCGCTTAAAGTTGCATTTTTCAAGAACATAACTAGGAGGTTAAGTGAGGAGTTACTGTAAATGGTTTTATCCCTACCCAGAGCAACTGTATTAACATTTATTTTACTGAAGAAAAATACTTTCTGTTGTTGTTGTTCTCTTTAGCTACTTCCCCCAGCAAAATCAAATCCCCAGAATCCTAAGAATTTCAAGAGTTGGACTTTGCAATTTAATGAGATTAATTATCCCTAACATATGCCACATAAGGAGATTACCCTATCAGTTATACATGCAACTGCCCAGATAATCAAGCCCCTAAACTATACTGAACTTGCTGGAGGGATTTAAATTTATCCTTTAGGATGCATCCTCCACCCAGATGACAAAATCAACCATCAGAATGTTTGTTACTTTGCCCCTCCCTAGTTTATATTTGCAAAGATTAAATATAATTAACTTTATGTTTTTAAATAAAATTGTTAAAACTTTCAAGATCTGAGATTCCTCCAGCATGAAAGTAAGTCCCGAGCATAATACAGTTTACATTTCACAGACAGTTACAGTATTTTAGTTTAAGTTCTAGAAGAAATTCTAATGTACAGAAAAAGAAAACCACCCTAGAAATGTACGTTCTTTTCTACCATTAGACAAACATTTTAAAGCAGAACTTCTTTACATTTTAAAGCACTCAACAAACAATAGAAGATCTTCATTCAATTTTTTTTGCATAGTTGGAAAATCAACTCCATATACACCTCTACCTCAATATAACGCTGTCCTCAGGGGGCCAAAAAAATCTTACCACGTTATAGGTGAAACCGCGTTATATTGAACTTGCTTTGATCCACCGGAGTGTGCAGCCCCGCCCCCCCCGGAGCACTGCTTTCCACGTTATATCCGAATTCGTGTTATATCGGGTCGCGTTATATCGAGGTAGCGGTGTATGTCCCTATTAGCATAACTATTCCATTTTAAAACTAGAAAAAAGATCATACCATATCCCGGTGCTCCAAATTTACATTACAGTTAAGTAGCTCTGCTACAATGTCTACATAACCTTCTTTAGCTGCCGAAATAAGAGCTGTCCAGTTATCCTACAGTAAGAAAAAAGTTGAAAGATGTAGGTTTTTTTAAAATTCAATTAGTGATATTTACAGAGGACACAATATGAAGGTTTTACATATCAAGTTACTAGTCTCAGCGTACAGTGGTTCCCTTAGCGCTATCAAGTATAGTTTTTTAGTATAAAGTACAAATTCATGTTTATAATGTGCTTGATTTATTCAACTAATGACAGTATACACCCACTGTGAAATTGTGGGTATGTGTTACATTAAATCTCACATTATATTGATTTCCTAACTGTGAAGTCTGTTTTTTCAAATGAAAGCCTTCATCATACTGACTAATAAGCCAAGAGGATAAAGATGGCTTAAACTCAAATCTTATCAATAATTACTATAACTAACAAAATTAACAACCAGCATGCTCAGATTCCCCCATCACAAGTTTATAGGTCTGAGGTTTTCCATGACCAAAGCATGGGAATAACTCTCTTCTGTGTAATTTAAAAATCTATGGTTCTTTTTCCATCTTCATTCTCTTACCTCAATGCAGCCTTCAATGCTAAAACATTTCAGCTTCCTAGACTCTGCATACATAGGTCTAAGGAGTTTTCATTCTCATGAGCAGCGGGGAAGGAGAATCCACACAACTCTATCTTCCATTCACCTCTCCTTTGTCTAGAACTTGAAAACATCCTTGACCCTGAACTCTCTCCTCCCATATTTATATTTGTAAAATCTTCCTGTCACCAACCCCACAACACTGACTATGTATAAAACTGCCCCTGCTCCACACCTCTGATGCAATATTAATATTTCCATTCATCTTTCACCTTAACTATTGCTACTCATCTCTATTGCATCCCAAACTCTAACTAGCAGGAGTATTCTGCATAGCTTCTAACAGGTTTAAAGCAGCTTAATGACATCACTCCTATCATCAATAAACCTAACTGGCTCCCTATTCATTTCAGGATTCAGTCCTCCTCTAGCCTGCCTGTTTCTTTTGCTACTCCTCCCATGCAAACTTGCTACTGCTGATGTAAGAGCTCTCTCCACTGTTGCTCCTCCCATATTGAATAAGTTGCCTTTTATCTCTCTACTTCATCCATTCTCCATCTTTTTTCAAAACTCAGCTAAGAACATCTTCCTCATCTGTGCCTTGTGATTTCTTTCTCCTCTGCTATTATGTAACTCTGTAATTGATTCTTTACTGTAGCTTTGTAAAAAAATCGGGATGCAGCATGAAAGACACTTCATAAAATAAAGTTGTACTGTATTCCCAAATACACAAACTTTCATGGTGGCATCAGTTTAAATATGGAAATGACAGGACGCAGCTGCTTTGTAATGCTTCATGACCAATAGCTATACACTGCTGTTCTGTGCTGCTACAAAGAAGGGACCAGCACCTACCTAGTCAAGATTGCTTCCTTGTGGATCAGTTACAGTGGCAAAGTATTAACTATTTTACCATTATAATTGATCCAAACTCAGCCGCAGAGGTGCTTCACTTAACAGACCTGAAGCGGAACTACATGATATTTTAGAGCCAGACACATTAGTGCTAGTTAAGGAACCATCTTGGAAAAAGAAAATGACACTAATACTTACTGCATCTTCCAGGTTACAGTTAGCTCCTTTCCTGAGCAATTCTTGGACAATTTCTAAATTGCCTTGCTCAGCAGCCAACATCAATGGAGTCTGACCATTCTGTAATCAAATGATAGTTACCATTAAACTACTTAGACAAGTTGATACATCTCTAAAATCCCATAGTTATATACACCACCAGTGAAGTACCATCATCTATAAAGGAATTTCAGGTACTGTTCACATAATTTATGCTTTGATTTAGTAGATGAGAAACACTGATAAAATGTAACATATTCAAACAACATGCAAAAAAAATTCAGTGAAAAAAGAAATGGCAACACAATATTAAATCTTTCCATATAGTAGTCCATATAGTAACAGTGGTTTCAAATATTTAAAGAGTGGCTTTTAGAAAATAATTGCAATACACTAAAAGCATAACAGTCCACAACTCATTTGTCCACCTAACACATCTGGAGATCCAGAGTTTTTTCTTCCTTACTCACAGCTTGAAGAAGCTTGGCCAAACAGTTAGAAAGACCATAGTCCAACCAACGAATTGGTATCTGCAGAGCACCAAAAGTCCATACTGAAATTTCTTTTGGAAGTCCAGAGAACATAGTTCGGTTATACGTTTATTATTTTCTGAACACAGACAATACGCTTGTCATTGTACCAGACAACCGAGCAACATAGAGTCTATTAATCTTATCCTGCAAGGTACTAGGCAGTCTCATCTCACTGAAACAAATAAGACTGGAGAGTGTTTAGCATCTTGCAGAATCAAGCCTTCAGGGATGATAAAAGAAATCTGATACAAAGCTGACTCCCTTCTGTGGAGATACTTTTCTCCAAGAGGCATCTCTCCCAGCTGGAGGAGCAAAAGAACTATCTCAGATGACGTTGCTTGCTGCTAGACACCATCTTTCGCAGCCTCTCTCAATCCATAAGTCACGTTAGCTATGAGTCCATACAAGGGCTGTCCTGTATGATGTTTTCTCCACCATCCATTATGGCAGCATAGAAGATAATTTCTGATTGTGAGGAAGAATAGACTTTGGGGGAAGGGGAGAGAAAATCTGATATACTCAAGGTTATGGTGAGTTTACAAATAAGAGAATTTGTCTGAAAGTGCCTACAGCTGGCCAGTGTGAGACAATGGATTTCTCCCTACACTCCTCCCACCCTGCTCCATCTTCAAGCTTGAAGTTACCCTACATCTGAATGGATCATTGCTTCCCTTAAAGATGCAAAGAACACGTCCAAATTCCCTCAGCTTTAGTTGCACTGAATGCCTGCCTATAAGAGCCATGTCATTGTAAGAAGTACATCAGTAACTTTCCTGAAAATGTAAACTACTAACAAGCTGAATCACCTTATCTGATTACAGTGGCGTTAGTTAAGGTTACTAATCGCTTGCTGCTGACTGCTTAATTATGGAATATATTTTATTAGTCCTTTATTCGGCTTTTGGTACAATGAATGATGGAAATGGATTGACTCATTCAGGAGAGATTTCTGCTGTAGCAGGCATTTTCCTTAAATTAGTTTTAATGGGATTTTTCCAGATAGTATCATTATGAACAATTATCATGGTAATACATTTTGCACAATGGGGCATATCTTACAGTGTAATAAATTGTAAGTTCTTCTGAGACAAAAACGTGACTGTATATCTGTAAAATGCCAAGTAAGTGTATGGTGCTATCTTAATGTCTTTCAATAAAAAAAAACTTATTTTTAGGGCTGTCGATTAATTGCAGTTAACTCACGCAATTAACTCCAAAAAATTAATCGTGATTAATCGCAGTTTAGTTGCACTGTTGAACAATAGGATACCAATTGAAATTTGTTAAATATTTTGGATTTTTTTCTACATTTAAAATATATTGATTTCAATTACAACACAGTATACAAAAATATTTAAATAAAAGGTATTCTATTATTGTTTAACAGTGCAATTAATCGTGACTAATGTTTTTAATTGCACGATTAATTTTTGTAATCGCTTGATACCCCTACTTATTTTTTTATATTAACTTTGCTTTTTGCTCTGAAAGCTTTTTAAACAATGTGATGCAATATTTAGGCTTGGACATTACCATACATGAATAAAATGTTGATAAATCAGTAACCAAAGGGAGATATTTCAGTACAGAATTGTATCTGAGCTAATGGAAGCCAGATACAATAACTGTATAAATGTTACTTTAGGACACATTCTTGCATGTCTATACTAGTGCATCTACACAGCATTTTGGGAGCTGGGAGCAAGCCTTCCAACCCAGGTTGATAGACTGGGACCAACATGGCTCACGATAGTGCTCTAAAAATGGTTAGTGCTCACCCTGCACCCTAGGCTTCAGAGCCCATGCCCTAGTCTCAGCCACAACTCCAAAATGCTGCCTATATAGCCATTTTAAGAGCACTAGTGCTAACTCTGCTAGCCCCAGTCTGTTGACCTGGGCTGAGAAGCTCGTTCCTGCTCGCTCCAAAATGCTGCATAGACACCCTATGTAGCTTTCAGGAGTGTTTTAATTCTCTATCTTATTACTATAATAGAAAAAAATGGGAAAAAAGTGTAACATTTTCTCTCACAGTACTACAAGGCCTTACTGAGATACAATTATAGTGGATTATGAATTTGCCAAAACTTAGTAAAAACACAGTTGTGTGCAAATATCATATCCATGGTATTTGGTTAGTGTCTTCCCTAGAAGACTCCAAAGTTTAAAAAAAAAAAAAAAACAAGTATAAAGTTAGGAGTTCCCCAATTCAGGTAATGGAATTACACTATCACAAAACTGGTTTAAAAAGAGAATCAGACCTAAGGAAAGCTAAGGCCAGATGAAGGACAGTTTGAAGTTCTGTCCTTGCTGTGAAAATTCACTCAAAATAGGGTATAAAATAAAATATACAAAACAAAAACAAAAAACAAAAAAAAAGACAGTTTGTGAAATCCATGCTTTTAATGTAAAATGAAAAAGATTCAAAGAAAAAAATTATGCTTAACACTAGCCATCGCCTTTTCTCAGAAGTTCCAATACCTTGTAACAATCAATTAGTCAAATCATGTTTCTGAACTCTTAATAAAGTGACATAAAGATACAAAACCAAAAGTATCACAGTAGCACAAAATGTACAAAACTCCAAGGAAAACTTATTTTTGTAAGCATCCACTGGACTGCAAAGACACACTGGCACACCAGCAAAGTGCTAAAGGGCCATTACCTATTTAAGCAGTTATTCACAAGCAGGGGGGGGGGGGGGGGGGTAATAAACAAAGAATTTACAGTTCACCTGAAGAATAGTTTGGAACTCACATACACAATGGAACTACCTGCCTCCCTCCCAGCAAGGATTTTTCCAGAACAAAGGGTTGGAGTATAAGAAGAGGGGGAAATTGTCCCTAGCCTCCTCTCTCCATCTCTCTTCTCATGACAGCAACAACTCTCAAAGAACTGAACAAAGGGAGGAATGGTCCCATGCTGAAAAGGGACAAAGCTAGCAAAATGTATGGCAGTTCCTGGTGAGACAAACCTTTTGCTTTTAAACCTATTAGCCTTGGTAAAGTTTAATAATTAGCTTGTGTGTTTATCTTTTTATTTCTTTCGTAACCAATACTGACTTATGCGTAATCCATACTTGTAATCACTTAAAATTTCTCTCTCTTGTTAATAAACTTGCTTTATTGTTTTATCTAAAAAACAGTGTGTTTGATTGAAGTGTTTGGGAAACCTCTACTTGAGATAACAAAGGCTGGTGCATAATCATTCCCATTGTTGGAATGACGGACGACGTATGAGCTTACACTGTCCAGGAGGGTACTGAACAGTGTAAGGGCTTGTCTACACTGGCAATTTACAGCACTGAAACCTTCTTGCTCAGGGGTGTGAAAAAACATCCCCCTGAGCCCAGCAAGTTTCAGCGCTGTAAGGCACCAGTGTAAACAGTGCTCCCAGCGCTGGTAGCTACGCCTCTTGTGGAGGTGGGTTTTTTTTTTAAGAGCGCTGGGAGAGCTCTCTCCCACCCAGTGCTCTGCCGTGACTACACAAGCCACATTAAAGCGCTAGCATTGCCAGTGTAGACTAGCCCTAAGACACACATTTCTGGGTGCAAGGCAGTAGCGTAGCTGGGGGGGGGGGGGAAGCGGGGCAGTGGCCGCTCCCCCACCGAGCACAAGTGGCGCCTTTTTAATTTTACTCACCCAGGAGCGGGGGGAGAAAAAGGCGCCACCCGCTGCGGCGCTTTTACTGACGGGGCGGCGCTCCGGGTCTTCGGCGGCAGGCCCTTCACTAGCTCCGGAAGTCTTCAGCGGCACTGAAGCTTCATCGCCGAAATGCTGCTGAAGACCACGGTGCCGCCGAAGACCCGGAGCGCCGCCCTGTCAGTAAAAGCACCGCAGCGGTGTTCCCTCCACCTGGCTACGCCACTGGTGCAAGGCTGGAAATATGCAGGCGTCACCCTACGTATTATTCATGGCTGGCTGGGAGAGCGTTCATGTATTCAGCTGGGTGTGACTTTTCATGCTGGTGGCTGTGAGTGAGCAGAGCCTGGAGTGGTTTGCTGTTCACCAGCAAAGTACTGTAAAAGGCATTCCAGGCTGGAGAGCTAAGGGAACACAGCAGTCCGGGCTGCACTCCGGGGAACGTCACACAACCATTAGTTTCTTTGTGCATCAATTCCCCATATGTAAAATGAGGATAATGTTATTTTCCTACCTCACAGCGGGGTTGTGAGGAGAAATATACTGAAAGATTGTGAGGCAGTCAGATACTACATCAATGGAGGCCATCTAAATACCTAAGATAGATAGGCCACAATATGGCTGTTATGTTTCTTACCTCAGTGAGCACAACAGAATGGAAATAAGAGCTGAGAGTATGACTCAAGGACAAGGAAAGGACCACAAGAAATTTATGGATAGGAATTTATCATATTAAATATCCAGTGTGATGTCGCATCAGTTATTCATCCTGCAATTAACATGTAACAATATTCAAGAAATCTTTGAAAAAAAACTCATCTTACCTCATTTCTTTCATCCACATCTTTGCACGTCTCAAGAAGTGCTTTTAGAGCAGGAACATTTTCCTCTTCTACATAGGTCACAAGACTCTGAGTCATGAGACTTGCCATTTTTAGATAGTACTTCAAGTACTTCTATAACAGTATATACCTGTATTTAAAAAAAAAAAAAAAAGTATTAGTAAAGAAGCATTCAGATTTAATTTGATTACAGAAACCAAACTGTGGGTTGCACATAAGTATCTGCCACTCTCAGCAATAAAACATTTCTGTGACTAACAACACTAACTCGACATTTCAATGAAGACCGAGTTGCTAAATCTTTTGCAATTCTTTGAAAATTCAAGGGTTTACCCTATTCTTAGCATTGTGCAGGAAAAACAGGTTCTGAAGGAAACAGACAATATTCTTTCACACTTTATATATGTACAGTATATGACTGTACTATGGATCACCCAAATGTCCTCGTCCCCCTAAAAGGTATTACCTGTATTGCATATTTCTTAGTATATAGGACCTCAATTGCAGCACCGTTGGCCACAAACTATATACCAAACTCCAATTATTTCAGTTAGTTTTAAGAGTTCTGCCTCTAATAGATGCATAGATTCCAAGGTCAGAAGGGACCACTGTCATCCTTCAGTCTCACCTCCTCTATAACACAGGAGATAGACCTTCCCTGAAATAATTCGTAGTGCATATCTTTTAGAAAAATATCCAATGTTGATTTAAAAATGGTCAGTGATGGAAAATCCACCATGACCCTTGGCAAATTATTCCAATGGTCAATTATTCTCACCATCAAAAATTTATGACTTATTTCCACCCTGTATTTGTCTAGCTTCAACGTCCAGCAATTGGATTGTGTTATACCTATCTCTAATAGATTGAAGAGCCCATTATTAAATAGTTGTTCCTTTGCAGATACTTATAAACTGTAATCAAGTCATCCCTTAATCTTCTCTATGTTCATAGAATCATAGGACTAGAAGGGACCTCAAGAGATCACCTCCATCTTGGTGCACATAACAAAATTCATTCCGCACATGGGTGGGAAAAATTAGAGGGAACACTGACTATGACCCCCAGATCCCTTTCCGCAGTACTCCTTCCTAGGCAGTCATTTCCCATTTTGTATGTGTGCAACTGATTGTTCTTTCCTAAGTGGAGTACTTTGCATTTGTCCTTGTTGAATTTCATCCTATTTACTTCAGACCATTTCTCCAGTTTGTCCAGATCATTTTGAATTTTAATACTATCCTCCAAAGCACTTGCAATCCCTCCCAGCTTGGTATAAAGTTTGCGGACTGTAAGTGTACTCTCTATGCCATTATCTAAATTATTGATGAAGATATTGAACAGAACCGGACCTAGAACCGATCCCTGTGGGACCCCACTTGTTATGCCCTTCCAGCATGACTGTGAGCCACTGATAACTACTCTCTGGGAATGATTTTCCAACCAGTTATGCACCCATCTTATAGTAGCTCCATACGTTGTATTTCCCTAGTTTGTTTATGAGGAGGTCATGCGAGACAGTATCAAATGCCTTACTAAAGTCAAGATATCTACCGCTTTCCCTCTGTGCACAAGGCTTGTTACCCTGTCAAAGAAAGCTATCAAGTTGGTTTGACACAATTTGTTCTTGACAAATCCATGCTGACTGTTACTTATCACCTTATTATCTTCTAGATGTTTGCAAATTGATTGCTTTATTATTTGCTCCATTATCTTTCCAGGTACAGAAGTTAAGCTGACTGGTCTGTAATTCCCCGGGTTGTCTTTATTTCCCTTCTTATAGATTGGCACTATATTTGCCCTTCTCCAGTCTTCCAAATCTCTCCCATCTTCCATGACTTTTCAAAGATAATCGCTAATGGCTCAGATATCTCCTCAGTCAGCTCCTTGATTCTAAGTATTCTAGGATGCATTTCATCAGGCCCTGGTGACTTGAAGACATCTAACTTGTTTAAGAAATTTTTAACTTGTTCTTTCCCTATTTTTAGTCTCTGATCCTACCTCATTTTCACTAGCAGTCACTATGTTAGACGTCCGATCACCACCAACCTTCTTGGTGAAAACCGAAACAAAGTCATTAAGCACCTCTGCCATTTCCACATTTTCTGTTATTGTTTTTCCTGCCTCATTGAGTAACAGGCCTACCCTGTCCTTGGTCTTCCTCTTGCTTCTAATGTATTTGTAGAATGTTAAGATAAACAGATTGAGCTCTTTGAGTTTATTGCTGTAAGGCCTGTTTTCTAATCCTTTAATGATCATTCTTGTGGCTCTTCTCTCAACCAACCTCTCCAATTGGTCTACATCCTTTTGAATTGTAGATCGCAGCGGCAGTTGCACCAATGCTAAATACTGAGATCAACTAACTCTCTATTCCTACTTGAGATTCCCCCATTTATGCATCCAAGGATCGCATTAACTCTTTTAGCCATCGCGTCACACTAGAAGTTCATGTTCAGCTTATTATCCACCACAACCCCCAAATCTTTTTCAGAGTCACTGCTTCCCAGGGTAGTCCCCTCTCCTGGAAGTATGACACATTGACATTTGGCTGTATTAGAATGCATATTGTTTGCTTGCACCTAGTTTGCAAGCGATCCATATCCCCCTGAATCAGTGACCTGCCCTCTTTATTACTTACCACTCCCCTAATTTGTGTCATCTGCAAACTTTATCAGTGATAATTTTGATGATAATTTCTTCCAGATCACTGATAAAAATGTTAAATAGCGTAGGGTCAAGAATTGACCCCTAAGGGCCCCACTGAAAACACAGTGATTCAATGACAATTCCCCATTTACAATTACATGTTGACACCAGTTAGCCAGTTTTTAATCAATTTAGTGTACATCATGTTAATTTTATAGCATTTTAGTTTTTTAATCAAAATATTGTGTGGTACCAAGTCTTAATATACTACATCAACGTTATTACCTTTGTCAGGCAAACATTTAAAAAAATAAAATAAAAAAGATATCAAGTTAGTTGGACAGGATCTATTTTCCATAAACTAGTGGTTTTCAAGCTTTTTTTCATTTGCGGACCCCCTAAAAAATTTCAAATGGGTATACGGACCTCTTTGAAAATGTTAGACATAGTCAGTGGACCCCCAGGGGTCCATAGACCACCGGTTAAAATCTACTGCCATAAGCCAATGTTGATTTGCATGAATTACATTACCCTCCTTTTATTCTTTATTAATCGAGTTCCATATCAGCCACTCCGTAACCTTGCCTGGGACCAATGTCAGGCTGACAGCCCAACAATTACCTGGGTCAACCCATTTACCCTTTTTAAAAACTGGCACAACATTAATAGGGCCCTATCAAATCTGCATTAATGAGAACACAGAACAAATCACAGAATCAAAACATTAATGTGGAATCCTGATCTCCCTAGCACTAGGACCACAGTGGCAGGCAGGCAGGGCGGGTTGCACAGCTGAGTTATGTGCAGCTGCACTTAAGAGAGTCAAGCTTCTTTGGATCACAGCCTCTTGCTCTGCTGTGCAGAGCTAGGGAGGATAGGGAGCTGATGTCAGGGTGTCCCCCGCCTGTGTACCTGGTCTTCACTGAGCCGGGGTGGGGAGATAGGGGAGTGCCTGTCTGTGCACCAACCTCAGGCTCAGGAATAGTTGCAGCTGTCTGAACAAGCGTTCAGGCTGGTGAGTGCTCTGCTTAACAAGAAAGCATGCGAACACACTCCCTCCCCCCCCACACACACATGCACACTCCCTCCTCCACCCCACACACAGGTCAGTGGACTTCCTGTGTTACTGTTCAACAATGTCAGTTTGGTCATATTACCAAGTGCTACTTTAAAAAGTGATTTAAAATGTCTTACTTTTACCATATACTTATATTGTATATCTGTTTAAATTGTAGGATTTTTTTTTTTATAAAATCAGTTTTTTCCACTGCAATCCAGTTCTGAACACTTTTATTCATTTATAGTAAGGCTACTTAATTGTTAATGTGTCAAACAGTTTTGATTTAAAAAAATAACATAAAAACTGAATTATTTTTTTTATGGAAAAAAATGAAATCAGAAAATAAATCCAAAATCCACAATAATAAAAGGGATTTCATAGGGCCCTACATTAGCTTTCTTTCCAGTCTTCTGGAACTTCTCCAGTGCTCCAAGACTTATTGAAATCAACATTAATGGTTCAATGAACATCTCAGCCAGCTCTTTTAAAATTCTTGGATGAAAGTAATCTGGATCTGCTGATATGAAAATGTTTAATTTTAGTAGCTTCTGTTTAACATCCTCCAGAGATACTAGTGGAATGGAAAGAAAGTCTCACTATACGGTGAAGATAACAATCTCACCTGTTTGTCCCCAAAAATAGAACAGAAATATTAAAATGCTTCTGCCTTACTGTTTACAACTATACCATTTCCACCTACTAATGGATCAATAACATACATCTCCTCACAGCTAAAATGTAACCCTTCATGTCCTTAATGAGGACAGGTAGACATATCATCCCGATCCTGCTTGGCTGCTGTGCTGATAACATCCAGTAATTATGGCAACGCAAATCAATGCTACCTGCCCTACACTGATTCTGTCTTACCTCATTAATTAGGTTAGTGCCAACTCTTGTCATCTTCACCCTTGCATGCTGCACATGCAATGTACATAACAGATAACAGCAATTCCTCAATGACAGAAAGTCATGTGATATCCAGAAGGGTATAATTTCCTGTAGTCAGCACGGACACCAAAAACGTTACCCAGGCAGCCCAGCATCTAATGAAGCACAGCAAATTTTCTACTCAAACATCTCTACACAATCACAGAAAAGGCAGAACGATCTCAAAGCTTCATGGATTCATTTTGTGCTGCTGTCCTCATCCACAAGAATGAGGATGATCTTGTGATTCGGGCAGTGGACTAGGAAAAGATCTGGGTTCTATTTACAGCTCTTCCATAGGCTGCATGACTTTAGGCTAGCCACTTAATCTCTCTATATCTCAATTCTCCATCTGAAAGTCATGATTTAATGACATTATGAAAGGCCATTTAGGATAAATACAAAATTAAAGAATTAGAATTAGCTTGAGTTTGGTTAAGGAAATGTGTGTGTTGTAAAGAAAGACCCTGACTAGCAAGTACAAGGAAGGCCTTGAA